AAGGGCGCTGGAGGAGAGAAGAAAACTGGTAAGGAAGTGAAATTTGAAACCAAATTTCTTTTAACACGTCTGAGTAGTCCATAAGAAATGTGCTTACTGTGTCCATGTTTACCTTCATGACAAACCTTGTTGATGAGCAGTCCACTCATATTTTAAAGTTAACTCTGTGCTCAGGTTTTATTATTCTGGCTGCTCAGCTGTCTGGTTGTTCATGTGATTTTTTTTTTTTCCCCCACCAGGAGGAGCAGCAGAGATTGGCTGCTGAGGAGAAAGCTGCAAAAGAGAGAGAAGCCGCTGCTGCTGCAGCTGCTGCTGCTGCTGCTGCAGCTGCTGCTGCTAAAAAGGCTGCTGATACAAAGGTAAACCAGCAGGTGGAAATGATACTTTAGTTTTTGTACACCTGCACAATTCAACAGAAGAACAAGTTGACTGAAAGTCTTGTATCAATTATTTCCCCAGTGTACATTTTGGAGCTAAATGTTCTTCTCTTTATTTTCTCCTCTGTACTGAAGGCTGCTGCTGCTCTGAATGTTACTGTGGATATTGAGGTAAGAATCTAAATATAGCCGCTCTGAAAATCAGTTTGTTTTTGTAATTTATCAATATGACACATTTTGGAATTCAACGTTTTTCCCAATGTTCCCCATCTGTGCTGCTTGTAAGGCAGACAAAAAGAAACTTGTTCAGAGAAAAGATTAAAGTCAAAAAAGACTTGAAGAGAGCGCTGCTGGGAGCAGGAAATGTGGCGAGCCCAACTGCAGGCAAACGTTTTGTCAATATTGTTTGTGTAATTACTCTCACTGCCAGAAGGGGAGCCATAGGTTTCATGCTCCTTCTTTATGAAACATAACTTATGTTTATACTCGGTGTTGTGCACCAAAACACTTTGTGTACATCCATGAGGTCTAACAAACACGTTCAGTGCACTTCCTTTCTCATTAAACATTTTCTAACCTGATTTTTAAAAAGTAGTTTCAGTCACTCCAACATTGTTTACATTCATGTTTACTAGCTTGCTGTCCTCTTCTTTGTCCCTGTTTTTGTTGGCACGTTGCAGCCTATCCTGGCGCCTTACTGCCAACTGTTAGCATAACAGCATGACAATAGTGTGAAAAACAGCTTCATATTGCATCTAGAGGTCTAAAAAGGTCTAAGAACCTGTAAGCAGTGATGTAAAACATATTTACCACTTTTCTTCTTATTCTTTGCAGCGCTCCGTGATGAGCACGCCTGTAGGAAAAGGTGGTGGCCTCAATGTGACTGTGGATGTTGAGGTAAATTAATTAATTTGTTACACAAATATTGAATTAGTTTCTTTCTTAAAGCATCATGAATTGTCATCAGAGTGAAGCCTCATAATATGTTTTATTCTCCTCTGCAGCAATCACCACAGTCATACTCCATCACTCCAAAGGGCGGCAACAAACCCATTATGTCCAAAAGTGCCGAAGACTACGGGATGGACCAAAACAGTGACGACTCTACTGATGATGAGTCTGCCCCAAGGAAACCTATTCCGTCCTGGGCAGAAGGTAGGCATAATCTAATGTATCTCATTAATTATGATGATCAGACTCCATATATACCTGAACTGCCATAGTTTTGTTGTTTATGAATCAATTTAGTAATGTTTCATAATGTACAAGACTTAAATTGATTGTTTGCTAAACCCTCCACACCTGTTGTCCAATCATAGGTTAGCAACCATAATCAGGCATGGCAGGTCTGTCATACTTTGATTTCTCCCAAAGCAAAAGCAATGCAAGAGCAATATTCACATTTTAAGAATGTGCATGTGGTGTGTTTGAACATTTCTAGAACCTTTTAACAGGAACAGGGTGTGAGCAGAGTATTAAAGACATAGTTTATCTGCTCTAGCACGACATTAACATTTCAACTAAGTTATGGAGCTAATTGGCCAGCTAGTTGATGGTTATCTGATTTAAAATCTTCCATCAAGAGTTTTTTCTAATGGCAAAGTTGAAGGTTGTTGACTAGAAACAAGAAGCTGCTCTTGTCTACTTCTGTCTGAAAGTCCAATCCTCGCAGTTGAGCCTCATGGCTGTGAGAGAACGGAGAGCTTGATGGGTGTAACAACAGTAACTGAGAAGGCTTAGCAAACAGTCAATTGTAATATTGTGACATATTCCAAATTGAGTCAATCCTATATCACAGACTACATAAAGGTGAACTTTATGTTCTGTACAAAAAATGAAGCCAAAATTTCCTGGATGTGGCCGCTGCCATCTGGCACTGGTGACATCATTTGGAGCCAGAGTCTGTGCAGTATCGCTTTGCCTCCCATACACCTGTCCCACCACTGGCAAGCAACGCCATTAATCACAAGCACATCAATTGGCACACACGGCTGTCAATAATGACATCAAATTCCCTTTGATAGCATTAAATAACTAGTTATAACCAAACTAACATGGAGGGTGCCGGCTTTATGACCTAAACTGCAGCCAGCCACCAGTCAATTAAGATGTTTTGGCTTCACTTTTATGAAGCGGTCATGTCGTCCATCTTTATATACAGTCTGTCCTATATACGTAATGTCGTCCATCTTTATATACAGTCTGTCCTATATACGTAATGTCGTCCATCTTTATATACAGTCTGTCCTATATACGTAATAAATGTTAGATGCCTTGTAGCCTTTTATTTTTTTACCAGGCCTGTTTGTGGTTTCAGCATCACAGTGTGATTTCAGCCTCATGTTGTGTCTTCTTAAATAAAACTGTACTTAAATGTTTCCCCTCACAGGTCACAATCTGCAGCAGATAATTATGAAGCAGTACTTCAACCCTCCTGATTTAGACTCTTTCTTCGGAACAATTGAACCACCAAAACTGGAAAACATCTTTTACAAGAGCAAGCCGCGCTACTTTAAACGCACCAGCTCCGCAGTATGGCACTCTCCTCCAATTGGAAGCAAGTAATATCTGTACGCTGATACAGATTCACGTTGCTGTATAAAGTTTAATCTTTGTTTTAAAGTGTTTCCAATAAAGTAAGTGTTTTTTTTCCTGGATGTTTTTATGTGTTTAAGGGTTTAGTGGTAAACAGTTTAGGAATATTCTTACTACTATGTAAAATATCAAGGATTTAAGTGATACACAGTGAAAATGATGCTTCACGCTGGACTTGGACTTGAAAATGGGTGTGTATTATAACCCAGTGGGATGTTTGGAAGTTTTTCAATCATTAAAAACTTTCATTTGTATGATATCTATACCGACTGTAAATTATAGTAGAATTCTTATGTTTCTTATGAATTTATTCAGGTGTATTAAAATGGTTGGGAAAAAAAATACTTGTGCAGGTTTCAGCTTGGATTTTATAATAAGTGACACCTTAGAAAAATATATGCTCATGCAGCTGAACATTTCTGAGGCTTTAAAGGCCCTGCACACCTACAGTTTTTACGTATTTTAGCTGATTGGACCTTTGCTCAGGTCACTGGACTCCATGCAGTAATGAGACTAATAAAACAAGTGTAATTTGTCCTGTGCACTAAGAGCCAAAAGCTGAAAAGTTTGTCTGAGAGATGTCAAATACCATCTGTACACACCCACAGTCCTGAGCAGAGGTCTAATCAGTCCAAATAAGATCACCTGTATAGGTGTAGTACGCATGTGCTGGGCCTTTAAATTAAACTAGACAGGAAGTAATTTATTTCAGCTAACTTGTGTTGATAAAGGTCCTTTTGATAACAAACTAGGATTTGTTTTTTTTAGCGGGCAGAATCCCTGGAAGTGAACATCTGGATTCAATGTGACAATTTATAATGTATTTGTATTTTTGTTTTTCTTGCTATGGTATATGAAACTGCCCTATAAATGGTCTTTTGTTGAAAGCCATTATCAGGTAATTTAGTAGCATTGCATGTACATGAAGTCATGAAGATGGAAATTACAAATCAAGCACAACCAAGCACATGTCATCTGCTGCTATGATTTAAAGCTCTAGAATCAGAACGAAATGGACTCTAAAGTAAAAAATTATTTCGTCAGCTGTATCTCAACATTTAGAAAAACTGCAAACTGCCTTTAGGTCATTTTCACCTGTTGTACTTTGTACGGCGCTATTAAAAATCGTTAATTTTGTAACCACCCGACCCTTTAAATCGCTAATATTATGCTGCGTTCACTGTTCCTCGGATGGTCCCCTTTTCCGAGTTGGGAAATTTTTTTTCCAACTATGGTGTGTTCATGAACTAACTCCTGACGTGAAAAAAATCTGACACTTCAAATTAGATTTGTTGTATTCTATTACTGCTCAGAGCGTTTAAACAAAACGTTGATACCAGTTTCAAGCTCTATATTACAGTTATTTTGTCCCAGAATTGTCACTGCCCCAGTGCATCCTCTAAAAACTACTTAAATATTGCTTTATCTGACAAATGCTAATGAATAATGTTGCTAAACTAATGTAGGTCAATGTATATGGACAATGACTAATGATTATAACTTAATATTACATACACTCATATTACAAATGACATGTGAGCAGTTTCACAGTTTGCGGCTATGATAAATGATGTAAATTTTAAAGAAATTGAGGCTTGTTCAAAAATCTGCAATAAAATAAGTACAAAACACGACCATTTAAATCTGTATGCCCCTCCCCTGATCCAAAGTAAGAAACATAAGTCCTACCCCAGTGCTTAAAAAATATTTGACATGCCTACTCCTTTTTGCACCACCCCTTCCCCTTCACAAGTGATGAACAGTCTCTCAATAAAAAGTTTATTACTATCAACCAAACATTTTTTTGTCCACCATATTTGTGCATATATGACGCCAACTTTGGAACTAATGTAACAAATTTTTTGCTGACTTTCAGAGTTATTGTCATGAAATTCTGAATGAAAAAATATAAATTTTATAGTTTCCTTTGCTGTTCCAACGTGATGGGGCGTTCACGTGAATTTCCCCAGTTGGAATCTAATTTTTCCGATTATTCTGACAGCACCTGAATGCAGGGAGCACCTCACACGCTCTTCACGTTATAACGGCAGTGCGTATTTACTGAGGCAGCAGGTAACGTTAGCCAGTCTGCCAACGTCTGTCGTCTCTCGTCGGACATTAAATCTTTGCAACACAACCAGTTACTTTGGGGAAAAGTCAACCAACAAACCAGGTACGTTTACATACCAGACTTATGCACATCCTCCCGGTTAGCTTGTAAATTGTCATCTGTCGTGTTGTAACGTTAGCTAATAAACTGATGGAGTTTTATTAGCTAACAGTGCCTAGCAACGGTAACCAGGGATCCAGGGCAAGTTAACTTGTAGTTAGCTGGCTAGCTAGGTAGCTTGCTAGTAACGTCAACCAGATCTACTTTTCTCTTAAGTTAGTGTCAGCAATCATGTTAGCAAGACTTGTCGTCATTTATCAGCACAGCTTGACCTGAAATTTCCTCTTATAAACAAGAAAACAAGCCGCCTTAGTAGTTCCCAGTTACGTTATATTTTTAGCATTATTAGCATGGCTTTGTTAAGGATTTATTGATAACTAGCTAGCTGAAAACCGCAGATGAGGGTTAAGAGTGTTTATTTAGCACTTAAAACACGTCATGTAATTTTCCCAACCTTTGTCAGTTATTGTCAAATGAAAGTCAGTTGTATCTGGATCAATATGAATGCAGCTAAAGTTAACGTTGTATCCTTAAAGGGGTCGATGCACCCAAATCACCATCATGGCAGACATGGCAGTAAGTTTGTATCGGGCTAATTTATTTCTAAAAGAGTATGTTTGCACTAAAAACTGTTCACAGTGTGGTGAACACCCCAGAGATGTTGTTGTATGTAAACTAAATACTTAGATTATTTTGAAATTCTCTGTACCTCCATTGTATCGGGGTCAAGGGAGAAATCTCAAGGACATCTCAAAACTTGGGCAATGAAATCCAAAATGCACTGCATGGATAGATGCAACTGAGGAAAATTAGGAAATAATGTCTCTTTACATATATGCTAACATCTCTTTGACTGGTGGAAAACAGTTTTTGTTAATTCATTGGTGTACATGTCTTTTGTTTTAAGTTGATATTTAGTGAGAAGAATAAAGAGTCAGGTGATATTGACAGGAATGATGGCAAGGTATCATCAGCCAGTGTCAGCTGTGCATTTGCATTAGCTCGGTCCAAGTGCCTGTCTAGGTCAAGTATCGTAAGAACAGTTCTTGTTCTACTTCATAATGTGCCCATCCAGTAATGTAATGGTGTGCATTAATCCTGCAAAAGAGTGTCCTGGAAATATGATCACTTGTTTATTCATTGGTATAATTTATACAGAAATGACTTCGCAAATCCGACAGAACTTCCACCAGGACTGTGAGGCTGCCATTAACAGACAGATAAACCTGGAGCTCTATGCCTCTTATGTTTATCTCTCCATGGTGAGAAATGCTTTCAAACAATAACAACAAGCAATACAGTGTGACTCTTTTCTGACATTGGTTTGTGTCCTGTTAAGCTCAATGACATAAAAAGGCATTCTCTTCTTTCTTTTTATTGCTTTTAGGCATACTACTTTGATAGGGACGATAAATTCCTGCCAAACTTTGTGAAGTTCTTTCACGCACAGTCCAAAGAGGAGCGCGAGCACGCAGAGAAGCTGATGAGTCTGCAGAACAAAAGTGGAGGCAAAATTTTTCTGCAGGACATCAGGGTATGTACTGATACATCTTCTATTGAATTAACAATGTTACAGTGTGTTAACAGCATCTTTTGCTTTTTGTGTTCGACGGGACAAAGACCAGTTTTTTGTGTAGATTCACAAAGGAAATGCTTTTCATTTTTGTAAAATCAGTTTAACACCGGTGTTGCATTATTGATGTCCATCTTAGAAACCTGATAGAGATGAGTGGGGAAGCGGCCTGGAGGCTTTGGAGTGCTCCTTGCAGCTGGAGAAAAGTGTAAACCAATCCCTGCTGGACCTGCAGAAAATGGCGACCTAACACAATGATCCTCACGTAAGCAGCAGACGAATGTAAACAGTATTTGGCTGCATCACAGCTGCTGTAGATGATTCGCTGCTGTTTTAGTCAGTGCTAGAGTTCCTGACTTTAATGGCATTTAATTTAAAATTTATTTTAATGATGCATTTAATTTATTTCTGACTCTATCCACATGCACAGCAAAGCTATGCTATACACATTCAGCTTCAAAGAACACACAGCATTTGAACATTCAGAGGCTCTGACAGTCTAATAACACAAAACATTTTGCTCTTTTTTTCCCACAGTTGTGCGACTTCATAGAAACACATTATCTGGATGAGCAGGTCAAATCTATCAAACAGCTCGCTGACTGGGTATCCAACTTGCGCAGCATGGGAGCCCCTCAGAACAACATGGCTGAGTACCTCTTTGACAAACACACCATGGCTGACGAGGGCAGTTAAACAACACTGTGACACTAATGATCATCCTGGTCATCGCTGCATGCCCGCCTGCCCACCTGCCCCTGTCCTTAACATGTCATACAGATAACACAGCTTTATTTATGTTTGTTAGTTGTCAGTCAACTGCAAATTTTGCACAAAGCATCAATGGCTCTCAAAACTGGACTGCTGCAGACCTCACCTCACATCACATATCGGATAACAGTGGATCTTTACAGAAATAAAGACTGAGAAAACCTTTAATTTATGCCAGTTATGTGTTCAAACTTCCTGATGTTTCACTGACTGTTTCAGTGTTTTTGGTGTTTACAAGTGTGGCTTAAACACTACAATTTAATGTCTGAACTTTGAAATACATCTTTTAAAATACTTGCTTCTCTATAAACAATAAGTGTAAGGAGGCTTGACTGTGCCAGTGTCAAATAAAGGTCTAGTGTGTAGGATTTAGGGGCATCCAGCAGTGAGACTGCAGATTGCAACCAGCTGAAACTTTTCCCTTGTGCCAAGCATGTAGGAATACCACAGTGGCCAACATGAAAACTTGAATGGCCCTATCTAGAGCCAGTTTGTTTGTTCTGGGCTACTGTAGAAACAAGATGGCGTACTCCGTAGAAGATATAAATGGCTCATTCTAAGGTAATGAAAACACAGTGATTCCTTGTTTCAGCTATTTAAATGCTAATGAAATATAGTTGTGAATATTAGATTTTATTTCTGCCAATATATCCCCCTAAATCCTACACACTGGACCTTTAAAGTGTTTTGTAATAAAATAACAATGACTCAGTAATCAAATCAGTTCATATATCTTTATATATTATGATTATTTTTAAAATTTTTACTTAATTGCTTTTCGTATGAGTCTCATGATACTGAATTCTACATCTTTCAGGTATAATCCGCATGTGTCTCCTGATTTAGTATTTGTATCTTTACTTTTTTTTAATCCAGGCTTAAATCTAATGATACCTCATTCGGATAACCTTGTATCATTTTTGTACAATATATTGTTCCTGCAAAGATTGTAACTGAGGATAGTTAAAAGGACAAGAGACCTCAAACCTGGAAATCGACACTGGCCATAGTTAAAGTGTCTGTCCTTGACGGCTGCTGCTGATTCCCTGCGTTGAACCTCTTTTTTAGTCTTGAAAGAGAAGCATCTTTGACTTAGTTTGTAAATGAAATAAAACTTTAAAGAGTGAAGCAAGTGACAAATGAATTGGTAGACACGTTAGTAAATGGATTAGTCCACCTTTTAATGACAAAAACAAATACTGATAACCAACTACTGGCTTTGAAATTAGAATAACACACTTAACCTTCCATGATTTTACTGAGCGTTTCCTTTTAAATGCATCAGCTTTGAGTTTCATCCCTCATATTTACGGGTTCGCTGCATATGGGGACTGTAACGCCTTCAAAATGATGTTATCTAAATGCACTGATGTGGATAAACAGGTGAAATCCATGAAATGTTACCTGAACTATTTGTTAGGGGGACAGGCTGATTCTCTGCAGTTGCTTTACATAATGAAATCCAGAAAATTTGTTGTTGTAAATTGAACTTTATGTGCACAGACAGCTTCCTTGTATAATAAAACAATGCTAAATAATTTCATGTTGTCATTTTTTATTAAAAAACAAACATATGACACTTGACATTTATTAAAGAGTACACTGATGGCAACAACTCTAAAAAGACTAGTTTCTTCATTTTGGCTTCTTGTTGAGTTCCTGAAGAAACTGGGAAGTGTTCCTTATTTTTCCTCCACATGTTGATGGTTAAATCTCATAAGGTGCTTTTTCCGTCACAAGTAGGTTAATTGTTCGATAAGAGTTCAACAGGAAAAAGGAGATTAACTCAGTGTTTGTGACAAATACTTCTCAGCTGTGTGTAGGGCTCCAGATGACTGTAATGTAACATAGATCACTTCCTGTTTGTGTGAAATGTTTTGAATGCCACATGTGATATAAAGACTGTCACACCTTGTTTTCGCAGTCCTGCTCCCTCCCTCCTGCCGCCTTGTTAACCCCGCCGTCCACCAGAACTCCCAGCAGGTCCCCCTCAGCCAATGAGATTCCTGAATCATTGGGTGAGTTTTGCTGATTGGTTTCTTGCTGTGATGCCGCTGAAGTGGAAACTGCGTTCATGTTATTGCTCAGACTGCCGTTGGTGCCCCCGTTGCTTGCCCTCATGTTGGCGCTGAAGTTCCCATGGTTACTAAAATTAGTATGACTTGTACCATTGCAGAGACTTCCTGTTGTGCCAGCGCTGTTGGTGCTTGTTGCATTAATGCTGCTAGAGCTGCTGTTGGGATTACTGGGATTTGCTGTTGCTGCTGTGCGAGATGGGGAAGTGAACGAGAACACCCTTTCTCCTCCGCTTCCTGCCGCCCGAGCACTTGGGGGTCCGGGCTGGCTGTCAGCTGGGGGGTGGGTTTCCAGAGTGAGGCGGGGAGGTAGAGGGCGGCGGGACAGAAGGCCGTGTCCAGGTCTGAGTTTCGATATTGGGCAGAGTTCAGGTGGAGGGTCCGGGAAGGAAAAGGTTGGGGTACTTGGCATGTCACTTCCTTCACTCAGCCACGGGAAAGCAGAGGATGGCGGTGGAGGGACGTGGTTGGGGGTGTCAGGAGGCAGCAGCTGTGAGCCCAGCATTGGGTGAGCGAGGGAACTGCAGCTACGGTCCCATTCATTTTGAGCTCTTCGGGCAGGTCGAGGGCGGGGGACCGCAGGGGGGACACAGTGGATGGGTGTTTGTGGGCAGCTGTAGAAACCTGGTCTCTCATACATGGGCATGGTGGAGAAGGCATAGTCAGGATCTCGCTCGTGGTTCAAATGCTGGCAGCCTTGACTTGGAGTTGAGGGCGCCTCTGGGTGCAGGTAAAGAGGGAAGCGGCTTAGTGGAGCTCCGGGGCGGCGACGCAGCAGAGGGACACGGGAGGAGCGGGGAAAGTTAGGGGACTGGACACCGAGGAGACGGCCCAGCCCTCCGAGCAGCGGGGTGGAGTAGTTAGCTTCCTCGTTTTCTTTGATTTGCTCCAGATTGGACTGAAACTCCATCTCCTCCTTAGGAACACTAGTGTAGATTAAACAGATGGTCATATGATGGTTAGGGGAGTATTTCTCTGTATTTAAAACTGTCTTCCAGAAAATAAAAACAATACCGAACCTGATATCCAGGGCTGAGCCCATGAAGGAGGGTTTGCGGTGTTCAGCACTGGCAGCAGTGTAGGGAGGCTGAGGTTCGGACTCATTCCAGTACATATCCCTCTCAACCAGTGGCAGGCTGTCGTACATCTCATCCACTGACAACAAGGACACCTGGGAGGCAACAGAAACCTCAGCAAGTAAAACAAGACGGCCTCTGTCTGCAGCTGGCAAAGAAGTGGCAATGAGTTTGAATCCAAACCTGTAAATTGCGATCGACGAGCCAGTTGGTTTCAAAGTCATCATCATCTTCACCAAAAGGATTTATGAGTTGCTCCGCCACCTGAGACCATGAAAGGAAAGACCAGAATACAGCTCAGATATTGACAAATCAATAACATGTCTTTTGCATCATCAGTGTGACTTGCTCTTCACCTTCAGCCAACCAACGTAGAAGAAAAACTGCAGCATGGTGAAAACAGGCAGGTAGAAGTCCACATCGTGTCCAGGATAACCCTGAGCTGGATCCAAAAACTGACGACCAATCAGACAAGCCAGGAAGAAGCTGTAGACCGCCACTGTCGCCACCTGGTTGAAAGAGATTTGTCAGGTGTGTTCCACAACTACCTCAGAGAACAAAGTTTTGTGTGTGTGTGTGTGTGTGTGTGTGTTTCAATTTGATCAAACTGACTTGGTCATTTTAAAATACATGATAATTAGCAATGTTTTTTTTGACACCTAATCATTTATCACTTAAAGCTGGGGCGCTGCAGCAACCTGAATCTAGCCAGCATGAAACCGAAGCCCCAGCAAACTCTCTTTTTTCCCCCAGATTTCTGCTTACCCCAGCTTCAATGAAAACTATTCAATCTATCTGTTCTACCACCAAGGTACAGCACAGTATTATGACAACCTGAGTGTAGACAAGTGGCAGGCTGATCCAGTCGTAACCGTACAGCTTCATACACTTCGCCCGTAAAGTATTCAACTCCTGAACATGGACAAAAAGCAGGACAGGCAAAAAAGCCATTTAGAAAATGTTTCAGAGCTAAAATTGCCACAGAGATGTTCAGACTGTTTGGCATGCAGATGGGTGCACATGAAGACCTACGGTGAGAATGGCTGTGAGTGCTACGTCGTTGTTGATGCGACCTTCAGTCCGAGCCCTCAGAGCCAGGCTGACGAACCACATGCAGGGAACCCAGAACTTGTTGTGAGGAGAGCGCAGGTCCTCTAAGTGCCTCAGCTCCTCTGACGTCATCAAACCTGAGAGGCACAAACAGCATGGAAATGAAGGTATGACACAAATAGATAAAGAACATTTAAGATTTTTGTTTGTATGTGTTTAGTTCTCAGCTGTTGTATCACCAAGTAGTGATGTGCAAACCTCAGATGGAAATACACTGAGTCTGAACCTGTGTCCTGCTGGGCCACTTCACACAGTTTCTTCAGGACTTTCAAACAGTGCAAACAGAGCCAGCAGCTTTAATGCTGTGTGTGAAAAGACTGGCAGCACCAACCAACCAACCACATTAAGTTTGGGTCTTTCCATCACCACGTCGTACCTGCCTGCACCACATGCTCCATGGTGGGAAACCTCTTGTAGACGGCTGTGCTGACGGAGCGATAGATGAGCACACCAGAGAGGTTGGCATACCGCATCAGAGTTCGTCGGGTCAGCCTGGAAGCCTCGTCAGCTCCCCGAACATGACCACCCACTAACGCTGCCAAGCGATCTGGCCAGGGGACATTTTCAAACTGGCCCCACCAACGGGACACGACCAAGGTGACGTAAAAACCTGACAAAAAGCAAACAAACAAAAAAAGAATAAGATCCTAACCTCCTGTGTTAGTTTTGGATTAGCCATGAAATCTAAAAGTAGTAAAAAAAACAACAACAATCGGCTTCATCTCACCCAGCACAAAGGACACAGGGATGAGTTCGGCATAGCGGTCACAGTATATTGACAGCTTCTCGAACAGCCTCTTCTGGTCATCGTTTAACACAAACCTGGTGGAGGAAACATCTGTTACATCCTACATTACAACTAAAACACAGGCAGGTGAGCAGGTGAGCCCTATGACTCTTTCTGGTCCAAAGCAGGTTTTGGTAGACATGGCGGCTTATTGCTCCAACTGTGACACAAAAATATTTTATGTAATAACATATTTTTCATGTTATTATGACATTGAATTAATGAATTCTAATGTTATGACATTATCTTGATTAGATATTTACTTCAAACATGTAAAAAAGACATGAAATACAAACAAGAAGACAGAAAGAAAGTAATATTTACAAACACTGAAAGGCACAATGTAAAAGCAATTGTCAATGCATAGCTACTTTGATTTACACATCTGAAAATGATGGATCTTCTTATATAACAAGACTTTTCTGTTTCTGTTTGTTATGACATGGTGGAACAACTGAAGTAACAGTGGAAAACAAAATGCAGTGTGTCCTGTGTTGTTGGTAGTTACTAGGCTCTGAGGAAAAAGGAAAACAATCATTGTCTTTGCGATAATGGTGCAAACAATAATACCACTTGGAAACACTAGTGGGGAAAAAGTTGTCTGTCTCCACTTCAGAATGTTTAGGGGGAAAAATAACTATCAGAAAATAGCCTTTATTGTTATTAGATTTTTAAAAACACCAATATCTGTATCAGCTTTAAAAAATACTGTACTTGTCAGGCTATAGTCATTCTGTCTGCAGAATGAGGACGTGAAAGATAACAATTAGAGTTGACTTTGTTTTCTGTGAGAGAGTACCTATAAACAATGCTGAAGAAGTAGTAGAGAAAAGTGAAGATGATGAGCTCTCTGTAGAGCAGTTTATAGATGCTGCCCTTCCATCGCAGAAGCAGGTGAAAGAAGGTCCCCAGACCTGCATCAGCAACCCTGCGAGAGTACGTTACTGTCATCGCTGCTTGCTTGCCAACTTGCTGGCTGACTGTGGCGTGACATGAAGGAAACCAGTGTGGCGGTGTTCACTGTGCTTCGCCTGAGCTCAAAGTCAGCGATCAACCTGGATCTCATAGGGCCAGTGTGGTCAGAAATCTAATGACAACGTAAAAACAAAACAGCAGGGTTAGTGCTTAGTCTGCAATGCATCTGTTTGGTCTCACTAAATCAGCTGGAATAGATTTTCCATTTCCTACATGTCTAAATAGTCATTTAAAATAACATTTTATCTCATATTATAAATCTAAAATACACCTCTACATCTAAAGAGATATTTGTAAGGCTAAAACAGGCAACACAATATTCGAGGGTCCAAAAAGGTCTACTTTATCCACTCAAACACACAGCTGTGAGGTTGTTTTTACTCACCACACAATATGAAAACGCTTGGCCATCGTACTCACTGTGGCCCGAGATGTGTGGCGGCAGCGTCCGCTGGAATGATGTTGGAGAAAGGGAAGCAGGAAAGAAAAGGAGAGCAAGGGACTCCTACACCTCCGGTCACTTGATGTGTTAATCTGTTCCAGCAACAAAGCTGCATTGTGAGGCTGGGTCCTGTTAATCTGAACAAATCTGGGGACTACAGAGCGCCCACACTGCCACAAATAGGTTGGTTAAAGTCATGAGCACTGACTGGTTGGGTTCAGATTTTGGAAATATGCCTCTGTGAAACCATTTTCTTCAAAGTTTAACACACAGGTATTTCTCTCTGCCTTCTGTTGAACACACACCTTTTATCATATTTCTTGATCTCAGTAAACACCTTGAGGGGAAATTGATTATTTTCAGTTTGAAGCATCAGTCAGTATTGATTCATGGATCAGGTGAGACTGTGTCCTCCTCCCTCTGCTGGAAGAAATGTGTACAACCGGGCTCTAACTGGCCAGAAGGTGTTAGTGATTAACCCTTCCTGTCTAACCAGGAGACCAACAGCAGGGTGAAGTGCGGACAGAGTTCAATCTTGAGATTATCAAAGCACCATTTCAGCTGTTTTTACTGATTTCTGATGCTCTGACAACTGGGGATCAGTTTTGAACACGTTGGTGAGTATTTTCTATGTATTTCTCTGTCCTCAAGTCATCCTGGATTAAGTCTCTCGCACTCCACATGTGTGTGTAATACTTGCATGATCCTTAACTGAGGTTGAAGTTGTGTTTACACTGGATATCTCACAAAGGAGCAAATTCCTTTAGCATGACAACCTGCAAATAACAGCGTCTGAGCTCCTCTGGCTCTGCAGTGCTCAGAGAGGGAAGACGTCTGTAAGTTATTCAAACACTGTAGAGGTCATGGCTTCTCCACTGGCTACTGCAAAGCTTTGATTCCTTTTAATCAAATGTGATTTTAAATTGTAGTATGTAACTCTTTCTTTTCTGCCTTGTAGGTGCGTGACACCCACAGGCATCAGGGCCATTAAATAAAAGCATTTAACAAACTGAATGTAACAGTGCAGACGTCTAGTTCCTGTTGAGTCTCTGCACTGCCTGAGAGAGAGACATGGATGCTTTTGAGGGGATTCACAGCGTCCAGATTTCCTCCTCTCCACCATCTTCAGCATCAGCCAGCCCAGGATATGAAGTCCTCAAAGCAGGGAGATCTGGAATAGCAGTATATTCCTCTGCTGTGTTTTTTGGGAAGCCTGATGTCCTAGGACAGCCAGCTGCCAGACACAAGTGCAGCAGGGAACCTGAGGAGGAGGGCTGTGTTGTTGGACGGTGAGTGTCAGAAAAGATGAGCTAGATCAAAGGTGATTTTAAGGACGTTTCCCAAAGTGTAGTGTTGGATGATTTCACTCCATAAATGCTGTCACAATGGCAGTATTTAAAGGATACAAATGCTTCACTCTCTAGCATATTGGTGTCCCCATCACCTACAGAAGAGACAGTTAATGTTGCACAGTTATCAAACAACAAAACTCTTCTCATATCGGCTTTGATTAAACACAATGTCAGTCTCAATTTATACCCATCATGAAGTTTGAGCCCTTTAGGTGATGTGTGTGACCATCACTTTAAAGTAGCAGTCAGGCGGTCAAGTCAAACGATTACATATGCAAACTAGCAAACAGACGTCTATATTTAGTCACTAGTTTTAATACATGCTATAATCTGAGGCTTGTTTTGCATGTAAAGTCTTATTCTGCATCACAGCCAGCAGACAAATGTAGTGAGGAGAATCCATGCAGCACATTCACAGACAGCGCACACACTCAGTCTGGGGGCTGACTGCGGGGTCAGATTAGGACATGTTTTGATTTTATTTTTGCCTTTATTAGTGGGTGCAGTAGAGAGCTGACAGGAAATGAGGGAAGGGAGAGAAATGAAGGATGATATGAAACAATAGTCCCTCGCTGAAGTCAGAGAACTGAAGGGACGTTGAGTTTATGCAGTCAGTCTTAAACCCCTCAGTCACCAGCAAGTTGCAAACTTCCTTAGGTGTTTGAGGTGTATTTGTAGAGTGCGGGGGCAGCTGGATTACCATGGGAGGGGAATTTGCATTTGCATTTGTGTGTTAAGCAGAGAGCACGGTGAGGAAGGTGTACAGTTATTCCTGCCTGATGGCATATACAGTGTTACGGTCAGGGAGGTCTGTACACTTGCCATACCTCAGACAGTTTTGATTAGAGGTGGGACTATTCGAGATTTTGTAATCCGTGTTGACATGATATTACCTCACATCCAACACTTGTCCCTTTTTCCCATAGACAACAAAGACACTTGAAACAAGAGTACAGCCCAATTTCAAAAGGTCCAGTGTGGAGGATTTGGGGGGATATATTGGCAGAAATGGAATATATTATAATTTGCATGTTTTCATTTTTGTATAATCACTATAATCCTACAGTAGCCCAGAATGCACAAACTAGATAGGCCATTTGCATTTTCACATCGGCCACCGTAGTTAGCAGCCCCTAATCAACAAACGTGTCAGAAAACTATGTTTTTTTTAAAACATAAAACTGCTTTATTCAGTGTTTTTACCAGTTTAAATCACCAGGTCTGTTTGTTTTGGAGAGGAAGAGACCTCTGTGGATAATTCAGCTCCTGGTAAAAACCTCCTGAACAAAGAACGCTGAAGGAATTCTAACCAGGAAAAGTTTCAGCTGGTTGCAATTTGTATGTGATCCTCACTGCTAGATGTCACACTGCTCTTACATACTGCTCCTTTAAATTAAAATTATTTTTTTAGTGTCTCATATATTTTGTGTTTTAAAGAATTCAACTAGGATATGTATCGTGCTGGACATTTTACAGCTGTAAAACAATTCTGTCATAGTTTGGTGGACAAAGAGTATAGAGTGTTTAGACATCTTATTTCATGGTAAATGGATAAATCTTTGCTTATATTTGATTATTGTTAAATTCACATCCACACAACATGCTTTATTTAGTTTTGATTATTTCATGCATGATAGGACTACAGCTTTTGATTTTGACATGCATTGTCATGGAATTAGCTTGAAAAGGTTACAAAAAAAGAGCAAATACATTTATGTGATGGCTAATACTCTGCAAGGCTGGGCTACCAGTTGTGCAAAAGTGTAAACTAAGATTAGGCTTCAATGTGTGTTATTTGGCTTGTGCTTCAATTGAAACTTTTATCAACTGACATGATAAGAGACTAAAGGTTGGTCCTGCTTTATTACTCTATCTAGTAGGGCTGCACAATGTTAAAAAAAAAATCAAATTGCAATTATTCTGACAGATATTTCGATTGCGGTATGAGTTGTGATACAGGAGGTAATTTTTGCATTTCATTTTTACTAAAAAAATATATAAATGATGATGATGTGATTTTTGCTGGGGACTGTACCAAAAAAGCATGTCCCAAAATGGCAGGTCCTACGATTTGGATATTGCACTCATGCACTCATATCACGTTGCGATTTCAATAACTGTTCGATTAATAGTGCAGCCCTACTATGAACATCCCTGTCTTGAGAATGTTACCTCTCTCAGTGACAGCTTACAGGCTACGACGCATTGTTGGGAACATGCTGGCTAATTAACATTAATTTTTGCTTGGCTCATTGTTATCTGGTAACTAGCTTCTAGCGGTCTGGACCACCCTGCAGAAGGATGGATGGCGAGGTGTTCAAATGCCGTTCTCCAACAATGTTTTTATTGCAGTCTTTGTCACAAAACAACAAACATGGCCCTCTCATGAAGTCTAACAATAACCCAGAGCTTATCTAGACGCTTGATTCTGTTGACTTTCATCACAATTTGCTGCATGCGTCTTCACCATGACATCCTGAGAGAGGTGCTTCCCTCCACACACACACACACGCACACACACAGTGGAGCACACACCCTCACAGGTTACCCACAAGGCCACCACCCTTCAGGGGATAAAGAGTGAGCCCGTAACAGGAGTGTCCCCCTGTACGTTTTAAGGCCTTAATTATTTCAGTATTGTGTATATATATATTGCACACAATGACTATGTCTAATCAGATTATCATAGAGCAAAAAAGTAAAGAAAAACTGTACACATTGCACAGAGAGTAGGAGAGATGGAGGCTTCATTGGGGTCCAGCACCCCATTATTGCCCTGGGCCTCCCTGCAGGAAAATCAGGCCATGACACTCCACCTTGAAGTTCACTGAGCAATGTTTGAGCTTCAAATCCCAAGTTTTCTTTAGAGGTAACTGTTAAAGATCCACACATAGATAAACAGCTAACCATATGAGTTGTCAGTGTGACTGTAAATGATGTTAGCTTGAGTAAGGCGGTGTGCTCTGCTGGCTCCACACCGGGTTTGTCGGTCAGGGCGTTGGGAGTGGATGCGCTGTCATGTGACCGGTGAGGAGAAAGAGTCAGAAACGGAGCAGGGACACTCGTTTTTTTTGCCTGGAAATCACGACACGGGGATGAGAAGAAAAACAGTGAAGGATATGGCTGGAAAAGTGATATTAAAGTCGGCGTTACACTTTTAAATCGTTGTTTTGTCACCGTCAGACGGCTGCTGCTGCTGCTGCTGTTGTTGTGGGCTGTCTACGTCAGCGTCCGCATTCCTCCGCTGATTTAAAACGGCTGAGATTAGTTTAACTGAAACCAGCTAACGTTAGCTCGGATAGTCCCGTAAATGTTGATTTAACCACAACTGGAGGACACTGGAGGGGAGAAGCTGACCGACACATACACAGGGTGGGGGGTTTGCTGCTGTCCTGGACACTGACAGGGTAAGGGCGGATACTGAGGGGAAACCTCTCCGTATTAAAAAGTTGGAGATGTTAGCTAACAGCTAGCTAGCTAAAAGTACGGTTAATGTTTGTGGGTTACGTTAGCTTTGAGTTTTGAGCATGGACTCTGTGGGAAAATGACACAACATTTAATCTCCATTGACTTGGGACTGTAATGCTGTAGTAGAGGGTGTAAAGTTGTGGTCCGTGGTCCCTCGGAGGTCTGTTTGTTAACTCAGGTGTTTTCACTGACCAAAGGAAGCTGTACCTCAGTGAGACAATGATTCATCATTAGAGGTTATTTTAATGTTGTCAGACACAAAACTGAAATGGGAACCATTTTAACTAACTTAATGTTGAAATGTAACCAAAGAGTTGCTCTTAAGTACAACCTAATGTTTTAAACATATAAATTAAATGTTGAACAGATTATGCATCCTAATCCTTTATATAGTAAATAAGACATGAGTTTATTAGGTATAACTAGCTAAAAGTAATGCAAACTTGTAATTAACTTTTGCACATCCCAGATCAATATTTTGCATGTCCTGCACAGAACTGTACAGCTCTCTAATTTTTAAAGTTATATTGCACAGTGTTGTCATAGTATCTTTTTCATATTTCTCTAATCATTTTTCTTTTTCCCTATTTATGTTCTTAATGTTTGTGGTACTTTGCCTTTATCTATATGTCCTCTTTTTTTTTAGTAGAATTTATAGTAGTATTTAACACTAACAATACACAAACCGGGGCATAATAAATACAGGACAGAAGGAAAAGAAAAACAGAAAAAGATGACGTCAAAAACAAAAAATAAATAAATAAAAATAATAGTAATAATAATGATGATTAAAAAGCACAAGATAAATTCAGTTCAATTTAATTTTATTTATCAAAATTTGCCTCAGAGGGCTTTACAGCATACAACAACACTCTGTCCTTTGAACCCTCACAGCGGATAAGGAAAAACTCCCCAAAAACACACTGCCACATAGAGAAAAATCAGTACAATTGTGCACCAGTTTGTAATGTGTCCACATGAAGGTTCAGGCAGAGAGCTGGGATCCATGGAGTAAAGACCATGAGTGGTCAGGGAAAGTCCAACAGAAATGCAGTGTCCTGGTAGATCGAAGCACAGTGTGCAGTCCAATGCAAGGAAGTAGTCCTATGTGATTAGTCAGCTTGACTCCTCATCCTTTTGATGTGTTCAATAAAAGGCCCCCAAATTTTAGAACACGTGATGAGAGAGTTAGACAGAGTGTAGGGAGTTTCTTCAAGATGTAGATGTCATTTAACCATTTTGTAACGTAAGGAGGGGAGGCAGATTTACATTCTTGCAACATAACTCATTTTGCTATGACTATACCAAATGTTAGACTTTTCTTTATGTCCTCTTGATAACACAAAAGCTGCAACGATTTATCGGTTAATTGTCAACTATTAAATTAATTGCCAACTAATTTGATTAGCAATTAGTTTCAGTGGTAAAAAAATTTCCAGTCCAGCTACTTAAATGTGAATATCTTCTGGTTTCTTTGCTCCTCTACGACTATAAACGAAATATTTTTGGGTTGTGGACAAAACAAGACGTTTGAGAATATTGTTTTGGGTTTTGGGAAACACTGATTGACATTTTTTATTATATCCTGATGTTTTATAGACCAAACAACTAATCAGTTATCAACAGAATAATCGACTATGAGAATAACCGAGTACGATAACCATCTCAGAAAATATCCCGGTTTCAATCACAGTATTACAGAATTTATATTATTATCAGTCAGAATGACTCTTAAAGGCATGAAAATAGAAGGGTTACTTTTTGGTTTAACAAATGTTTTATTGCTATAATTGAATCTTGAAACTATTTTGTTAATGGAAGTATGTGTTAAAAATCTCGTCTTAGAAAATAACTTAAATAAAGGGGAGATCCAGTTGCTTTTTTTTCTTCAGTAACTTAGATAAGCAAATGTACACAGCATGACAACCGTCAACTTTTATATCACCGTATACCTTGAAACCAGTAAATCTCTGCAACCCTAGTTGAAGCCTTACCAAACACCATGGCTAAATCCTTGTAAGTGGAAAAACTAGTCGGTAATAAACCTTAATTCTGATTATAATACAGTCTCAACAGCCCTGCAACAAATCCTTTGAATCAATTATCTGGGTTGATGAATTGTCTATTACGATATTGCAGATATCAGATTTGTCATTGAAACATTACCTATAAAGGGGCTAGACAAAAACATTAGATACCCTTGAAAGTATAATACAAGACTGCAGCCTCTGCAAAACTGAATATAACCATAGTCGGTAGGATTTATTAGTTTTAGCCACGTATAGGCTAACAAATAAACAATGGAGTGTATTTTAGTATTGGATGTTTTATGATGATCATATCTATTTTACCCATATCACCCAGTCCTACATGAAAATGATGACAGTGGTTTTTATGCTCCTTACTTGCTGTTTCCAAAACTGAAATTAATCTATTGTAAGGGACAATGTACAGTATTTAATATAAAAACTGCAATTTAATGTTTTTGTGCTGAAGTTATCTTAAAAACTTATAAATGTCTGCAGTCAACAGGACAGGCAGATTGTGGGGTCATCCATCATTGTCCTTTGATCAACCCTATATCCTAAAGTGTTTTTATAACAACCCAGTTTAAGGAGCAGGCACAAAATCTTGTTGTTCCCTCACTAACAATACTGTTTATACTTCTGCTTGTGTGAAGGTTGGTAGATCTGGATCCAGAGCCAAAGTCCAGAGTGGAGGGAGGAGGCCAGGCTGGGCCCACGTCAGGCAGAGACCATGGCGACCTCTCCCGGCTTCGTAGCTCCTCGCTGGAGATCAGAGAGAAAGAAATCCGAGAGAAGGGCTCGGAGATCCTCAGGGAACAGCTGGATGCTGCAAAGAGGGTGTTGTAACCTACTTAATGCTAACACACACAGACACACAAAGCATTGTGTGACCTGGAAAAAAAAGAGTTGACAATGCAAATGTCCTTCCTTGTTGAATGTAATTGTGACCTCTTCTCCTACACATTTCAGGAACTGAAACTGAAGGACAAAGAGTGTGAGCGTCTGTCACAGGTCAGGAATCAGCTGGAGCAGGAGCTGGAGGAGCTCACTGCCAGTCTGTTTGAGGTACGCACTAATCTTTGCTCTCTGCTGATGGCACTGTCATTGACACTTTTGACCTTGATGATGAGCGAAGTGATGCATTATGAATCTTAAATTTCACAATTTACTTTGCAGAGAAAACATTTACTGCAAGTTTGACACTGTAATATTTCAGCTTTCCCACTGTAGGGAAACAACATACTTTAGGATGAGGGTTCACTAAACCCCTGTAGCTGGAATAGCTTTAATCTGCACGTATAAACATTTTACGATGATATCAGTGGATCAAATCAGATCAAATGACTGTGTGTGATGTGAAAGGAGTTGCTCAAGTGATGAACCCACAGAGAATTTATGCTCCTCTCAGCTCTACAGAGAGCTTTGGCCTCCTGTAGCTCATATTTTTGGTTTTCTGGCGCCAGAGTTGCAATTATTGTTTTTATTGCCACTTAATCGATCAGTAAAACATCAGAAAATAGTGAAAATATTCATCATGGCTTTTCAGATGTCTGTTGTCTAATGGTCAAAGGGCCCTGACACACTAAGCCAACGGCTGGCTGTTGGTCAATGTCAGGGCGTCGCTGAGTGTCTGTCACCCTGGTTTTTGCGGTGTGTCCTGGACCGCTGGCCCTAGTTCGTCCTTGTCAGCTTTTTTTTTGGCTGATTCAGCATGATGCCTTTCAGTGAATGAAATCACTCTGATCTGCAGTTCAGCTCAGTGCACATGAAGAGAAACGGAAGTGAGGAAAGCAAACAAAGTCAAGAGGGTGTGAGATCATAACAAACTTGTTATATTAGGAAAGATGATAGTTTTAGCCCCCGCAGATGTAGTTCATAACTGTTTGTTTTATTGTTCGCTGGCCACAGTAAATGCAATTTGTTCTTTCAGCATCACGTTGTATTGTTAACGTGCTAAGTGGCTAACTAGCATTTTGAATCTGTCCTGTTGGTCTTCTGGTTTCCTTTTTTGACTGACGAATACAAACTACTGCTGCTAAGAGTTATTTCCTCTTACGCAGGTGCAGAACATATGTATTACTTTGCTGTTGGATCTAGTCTTTGTGGTGTGTTCATGTGCAACTTTCTGGCCTAGACTCAAGCGACATGAGGAGATGTGACAGTCTGCCTATGTTGCCACTAGTTCCTTGATGTCTGTTTAGTATGTCTGGGCTTTACAACCCAGATATCGTCAATTTACAATGAAATGATATTGAAAAAGCACCACATCCTTACTTCTGGAAATCTGGAACTAGTTAATGTTTGTTTTATTTGATTTGTTTGCACCTTACAAAATATCTATTACAACATATACATATATATATGTACTCAAAGACATTCACTCATATACAAGCACACTTTTTCCAGCACATACTCAGATACATGATGTTAAAGTAAACACAGGCTTGTTCTATGTTGTTGTGACATTGTTGATGTTGTGTGTTAGCTTGTTTTGCTGCCCCAAGTGTCACAAATCACTTATTACTGCTTTAACCTTTTAACAGATTTACCGTACACCTCAAAACCATATTTAGACGGACAATAGACCTTTTGTTAATGTGTCAATCTTCATCACAACAGGAAGCTCACAAGATGGTGCATGAAGCTAACGTCAAACAAGCAGCAGCGGAGAAACAACTGAAGGAGGCTCAGGGAAAGGTGTGTGATGTTGTTTCTCTGTTTCTGTGCTGCAGTTAAATCATAAGGTGATGTTTCATGAGCTGAGTGATTCTCATGACCCTTTGTCCCTTTAAAATTCCTTCACAGCAGCTGAACTATTTTTGAACTGAGCTGATTTGTCTTTAAAATCGGTAGCTGCTATTCTAAGGTTTTATTGATGTCAGATTTTCCTTCCATCATGAGATTTTGTCTCTTTGCCAATTTTTTTCTCTACTTCTTCTGTGTCTGGCTCCCAGATTGATGTTCTGCAAGCAGAGGTGACGGCGCTCAAGACTCTGGTGTTGACATCTACACCTTCTTCACCAAACCGCCAGCTGCATCCACAGCTGCAGACTTCAGGAACCAGGGGAGCGTACAAACATGTTGGGGGTCATTCTCGCAATAAGAGCGCAAGCGGTGGCTTTCCATCCCCACCTGGAAAACCAGAACCCTCTTCAGTTTCCATTCAGCCTGCGGCCAAAGAAGACCGAGAGGTAACCTGACTGAAGTTTGTAGATTTTACTCTCTTCTCCTTTGTGCATTTCTCTGTTTCTTCCTTCCCGTTTTCAGTCACTTGTTTCTCAAGTTCTCTTTGCTTTGTCCTTTCTCTCAGTACTAACATCTCCTTGACTTGTTCTTCCTCTCTGTCTCTGGTGTTTCTTCCTCTCTCAGCCTGCTGTTCCTGCTCTCCTCTCTCTGATACTCTGCCTGGTTCCTGGCCAGTCTGTCAGTGCGACCTTTGACCGTTACTGGCAGGAGCGGGGGGAGGGGCTGGGCACTGACAGCAGACAGGTAACGGCATCCCTTCGATCGGGCCTCATAAGTCTTCCAGATTTAGCTGCTGGCAGATGGATCTGTTTTCTGTAATTGTTTTTATGCTTTTACAGGACAATGAACGCATTATTTCTGCCCCAGAGTACAAAGTGACAATAATACACCGTATCTCTTGGGTGAAAAGTATTGTCGGTCTGAGAGGATCAGTCTCTTGTTGGGCAGAAAGATATAAACTAAATGTGTTGCTTCTGTTTTCACTGTGGCTTTAAGACTTGATGTTAATTTTTGAACATATGGTTGAGAAGCCAGTGTCAAGCTTTTCAATGTTACTGGCTTCTGACTAGTTAGGGAAAAAGTTGGTTGTAACATTTGACTGTGAAAACATGATGGTGGCTCTCTAGTGGCAGTTGTGAGGATGCAACAGGGAAAGAAGCCACACTTTGAAGATTCAGGGAAGTGCAGGTAGAAAAGTAAATACATCACAACCTTACACCTTTCTCTCTCTCTGCCTCTGAGTACACCCCCACAAAGCCGGTGGCATGTCTGTAGACTCTCAGTCTTGTTCTTGCACTTGTGTCTTTTAAAGTCATGTTGTCTGCCTCTCTTCATTTGCATTGATTTTGTTTTAGCATGTGCATTGAGCGTTGAAGCCAGGGACATGTTGGACGATAATGTTTAAAAATCAGAAATACTGCATATTTACTTAAAGCCACAGTGTGTAGGAATTTCTCCCATCTAACGTTGAAATCATATATTGCATTCAAACAGATGCCGCACTCTAGCGCCTCACTGTTTCAAACACGTATTGCAACAACAGTAGCCGCTGTGTACCAAAAAGCTATGATAACACTGATGAAACCATGTCATCCGATACTACATGGAGTATTCATTCAGGCTCCTACACAGACACACGCGACGCGAGTTGACAAACCCCCTCCTCACCATGCTGGCTACAACGTAGGACTTTTGGGGCGGATGTAAATTGAAACAAACCAATCACGTCTTGTCCTTTGACAACTGACAAGTGGCTCAACCTCACGCACCTCATCCCTCTCCTCGCATTACTGCGCCGCTAACAGCTGTTAGTGGCCAGCGGCACTACTGCCGCATAACAAAGTCACATTCTTTGAGCATAATGCAGGATCATGTATTATGCAGCATCACAGGAGACGGAATCCTCGTCGCCAAGAAAGTGCAAAAGGGAATCAAAAAGGCAGCGTGACCGGCAGATTAAAAAAACAAGGGTCAGCACTGGGGTTGCCTTTCCCAGGTGGAGAGAGCTGCTGAAGGAGAAAGGTAATATAATCACAGGCCAGCGCTAACAGCGGATAACAGCTAACAGCGGCACAGTGATGCGAGGAGAGGGATGAGGCTGTTAGCGACTGGCCGCTAACAGCGGCTAACAGTGGCTAACTGCCAACAGCGGCGCTGGCCTGTGATTGCATTACCATTTTCCCTCAGCAGCTCTCTCTACCTAGGAAAGGCTACCCCGATATGGGCCTTCGTTTTTTTAATTCGCCGGTCACACTGCCTTTTCTATTCCCTTTTGTGCTTTCTTGGCGACAAGGATTCCATCTCCCATGATGGGACTTTGTTTCAAAATTTGCCAGGGTAGTAGCGAAGCGCCTCTTGCTCTTCTCCTTCGGCTCCTCAGTCACGCAGTGCTGGCCTGGCTCTCAACGAAAACGCAGAAGGCGGTGCTGTATGTCCATTGCTGGCGGGTGCATTCTCAAGATGGCGAAACGTAATGGAACCCCACAGACGACTTACCCGCACAATGTACAAACAAATCCGAAATTCTCCTTTTACGAGAATACGAGTCAGATTATTGGTGGAGGTAATAGTACACCAGTGATGACATATTTATGAATGCAGACATTAATTTTTGCCAATAAACAACTGAAAATGTTACACAATGTCCCTTTAAAATGACTAACATTTCAGCTGGTGTTTTAAGGATTATCGATCAGTACCAATGATTTTAATGAGAATTTAAAAAGGTGCTGGGATGTCTTGCTCTCTTGTTAGAAGACTTTTTAGCTGTCGAAGGTTGTTAAAATTCATCATTCTCAAGCTAAAAAGCAAACGTTTTTGTATTTTTTGCACTATATTTGTTGGATTAGTTAAAACAGGCTCAGACTACACGAGTTTTTGGCTGATTTACCCCTCCTGATAGTAAGAAATCTCGTTTGGGGCCTTGGTCAGTACTGATGTTTGGCCCAGATAATCTTGGAATGTGAGATGTTTACAGATCCAGTCTTAAACCTCTCAAACTGATTGGAGGCTCATCAGGGCCGCTCGTTAATTTCAAACATGTTTGATATTTAGGATTTAAAATCTGGATGATAAAGATTATGATTATGTCAGTCCAGAGCAGCCGACAGACTAAAAAAACACTGGAAAATATTCTAGCCCTAAGTCTAGTTAGCATAGCGCTGTTGACAGATAATATAAACTGACAAAAATTAAATCTCTCCTTCAGTTCTTGCTGAGGTACAGACAACCTGTGTTGACCATGTCACCCCAACTATTTTCTCATGCCCTTGTTAAGCCTTCTGCTTTTGTTTTTCTTACTGCAAAGCATGATTACGATTAACACAGGTTGTCTCATCACGTCACTCTCTGCTTTTTTTCCATTTGCTTCTCAGTGAGATCATGTGAGGTGGTGCATTCATGCTTCCTCTGAACGATAATCGTAATAATATCCTGTAGTAGTGTGTGTATGTTTGAGATCAGAGAGAAGCACATGTGTGAAGTTACTCCTTATTTTCGTGATGCAGCCCGATTTCAAACTCAGTTAGGATTTTAAATCTTGTGTAGTCTGAGCTCAGCTTTAGCCAGTTCTTCTGTCTCTATTTTGAAAATGTGATTTTTATCTTGTCATTTTTAAGCCAGTGTAATTTAACTGGGTTATTTAGGATGGGGGACTGTAGCTGCTTGTGGTTGATGCATCATGTTTGTCGTGTGTGTGATGATTTTTCTCTTTGCAGATGGACTCTGTTCTGTACGCAGAGTTTTTGATGTGGAAGGAGAATCCAAGTGTAGAGCGCTCCTCTGCCTTCCTGAGTCGCATCTACAGAGAAGACATCGGACCCTGCCTCTCCTTCACAAGATCGGAGGTCAGAATCTCACTTCACATAAACACAACTGTGTTTTCTGTATTTGAATATTTAAAGTGACCTTAACATTACTGATTACTGTTGTCCACAGCTGTCGCAGCTGGTGCAGAGTGCAGTGGAAAACAACTCTTTGACTATTGAGCCTGTGGCCATGTCAGCGTTACCGATGGTTAAAGCTTCAGCTATTGAGTGTGGCGGCCCGAAGTGAGTTATCACGTCTACACATTAACTATCATCCTGTCCTCTCTTTCACCATTCACTGCTAAACAATAGCTTAGTCAGCACTGAAACTCCACTCTTCTTTGGTTTGAATTCCCCCCTGATGATTAGTGGGTGTAGCTGAAGGTTTTTCATTGTCTCACCACGTATCTGAGAAGGGTTTAATCAGCGGGCACATTTCTAATCACTGTCTGATTTAAAAATCTTTTTTTTCCCAGTGGCTTTAGGGCAGCAATAGAGACGTAAGTCCTCTCGGGAACAATCACCTGTTCAGCTTTTCACTAACTCAAAATACTATGGCATGAAATGAAGTCTGCCTATACAGACGTCTGAAAACAAATCTGATGTTCTGCATGTGTTTGGATTTATATTAATGAACCTTTTCCTCTTCCAGTGACTAACTTTCTCTGATTGTGCACTACTGTTTTTTTTTTGTGCCGTTTCTTTACTAAAATGTATTTGTACCTGGAATGTGATCTCACTCTATAAAGGAACAGTGTGCAGGACTTAGAGGCATCTATCAGTGAGGGTTGCAGATTGCAACCAGCTCAAACTTCTCCCAGTTAGAATTCCTTCATTGTTTATCGTTGAGGAGGTTTTTACTGGGAGCCAAGTTATCTGCAGAGGTTTCTTCCCTTTCCAAAACAAACAAACCAGGTGATTTAAGCCGGTAAAAACATTCATTAAAGCAGTTTTACGAAACAAATCAGTGTTTTTGTGGTGCCCTCTTTGTGGAGGAGATTCTAACTACGGTGGCCGGCGCAAAAAATTGGATGGCCCTAACTAGAGCCAGTGTCGATTTGTTCATTTTGGGCTACTGTAGAAACATGGCAGTGCAACATGGTGATCTCTGTGGACAAGGACCTGCTCCCTATGTCGATGTAAACGACTAATTTCTTTGGTAATGAAAACATGATTCTTCTTTTCAGGTGATTATACACTCAAGGAAACTTACTGTATTACATTTCCGCCAATATATCCCCCTAAATCCTACACACTGACCCTTTAAGTCTTAAATTTCGTTGTGAGTAACGCCTGATGGGATGTTATTTGTGTTTCCTGTGATAAACCAGTGACCTTGTGTATCCACGTCTTGTAGCTGTAACTGTCTGACAGCTGATCTTTCTATTTGTAGAAAATGTGCGTTAAGTGGCATGTCTCGCCTCTGCCGACATCGCATCAAACTCGGCGACAAGGGGAGCTACTATTACATCTCTCCTTCCAGCCGAGCACGGGTAACTATGACTGAATCTCTGCCTTAATTAGACACACTTCTGTTACTCCTGAAGTGTTGCTTCATGTGACCTTGTCCTTATTTCACCTTTCTAGATTACAGCTGTTTGCAATTTTTTTACTTACATCCGCTACATTCAGCAGGGCCTGGTGAGACACGATGGTAAGTTAAGTCTTATGTATTATATTATTTGCTTAGTATGAGTCTGTTTGCCTCTTCTGCTTCTTGCTTTGCCAAGTTTTTTCCCAGGCAGCTGACATGTTTTATCTTTTGTTGTTGTCTTTCTTCCAGCGGAGCAGATGTTCTGGGAGGTGATGCGTCTCCGCAGAGAGATGACTGTGGCCAAGTTAGGTTTCTACCTCACTGACCAGGGCTAGAGGACCGGACAGTCCACTGAAACACCCGGCAGGACGGCACGATCTCCGCACCTTGATTATTTAAGGTCAGGGTTAAACTGTGGTAACAAACAGATCCTCGATCTGTTTTTGTAGCAGAGGACGTACAGCAGTAGCGCTGCAGCAGAGGTCGATCAACAAGGGAAGCAGAAAATGTTCCACTTTTATGCAATAAGACAAAACATTCAACCAGCACAGCTAGAAAGAAGTCAAAATAACACAGATTTAAAGATAGTGTTGTTCCCACAGATATGTAACATATATATTTTTCCGTTATACTGCAGGCCTTCAGTAATTCTCTCCACTGGTGAGGAGAAGTGTTTGTTTCCGTTTCTGAACCTCCCCGGTGGAGAACACACAACTTCTAACATTAATACAAATAGACTCTACGTGTCACGTTTCAGGTGTTAGTCTGTTGAAGATGAGCACAATGCATGAAAGCAGTGTAGAGAGTTTAGTTGGTCTCTTACCTCGAGTATTACATACTTATATAAATTATGTAATGTTATAGTTCTACTGTGAGAGTGACAATATTCATTATTTTGACATAATGCTCACTTGCCATGTGTAACCTTGAAATTTATGAAGAAAACTGTTTTTCTGAAATGACACTGTGGTGAATGAAGAATCCAAAAAAGTGAATAGTCTTTATAAATTGAATCAAACAGGGACTGTGTTTAACACCAACAAACTATATAAAAACATCTGTTAACAAACTCTCACACAATCTGTGCAGTATAGTCCAAGCCTCATTCCTCCAGTTGTATGCTCAGTACTTCCGAAGCTAGGGCTGTCCCCGACTAAGAATTTTGTTGTCTTCACAAATTCAAGATAACACGTGGCGAGTAATTGATATACAACTGGTCAGTTTGCAGGTAAATTATTCTTTGTTACTTTCAGTTTTTGGTTCAAACATCACAGACTTTTTGTCTCAGCATGGCCTTAATTTTGTTGATGCACTCTTGCACTTCCTGTTCTAGATGCCTTGTATAAACACACAAATGAAACAGCTGCAGCCTGTTGCAAAAGCTTCATGTAAGCCTGACCTCTACTTCATATCAGAAATATTGTTAATGACTTAGTTATGACACTTCCATGCTCAAAATAGTGACAGTTTTACAGTATAGTCAGAAGACGAACAAGCTTTAACCCAAGTGATTACAATATGCACAACTGTAGTTTTGCACGTCTGCAGTGAAGAGTATGTACGTACAGTTAAAGCCATAAATGACTTTGCATGAATGCAGTACATAGCCATATTATACAATGTATATTGGTTGTACCTCATAATATAGATTTATTATTATGAATGGACAATTTTTACAGAGAACAGTCTGTTGAAGGTAAAAATGAAGACTATTGTGTCAGAAAGTGCAATAACTGCTTCCTAGCCTTCTGTAGGCCTTTGAGGTTCCTACCCTCAGTGTACTGATCATTAAAACACTCCATTAAAGACAAGGCATTGTAGCCTCACTGCACCACCTTTGTACTGTGTGTGATTTATAGGCTTTGTCTGAACACAACCTGATAGCAGGTAAGTGGATCAGCCGGTTTGACTTTGATGTCGTCTTTTTGTGTTCTTTTGTGAAGATTAGACTGAAGTTTGGGGACAATGACTCATCACTTTTATTTATTTTAACACAACCAGATGACACACAGACCTATTTCTCTCAGGGCACAACGCTGATTTGGCTTTAGATTAAGGTCGTTGCCAGGAGCTGCCTGTTTACCCTCTCTGGGACACAGTTACCCAACAGGTTTGTGAGCAGGAATCAGGCACTGGGATACTGAGACGATATCCCGCTCAGAGGGGTTTTATGGTATGAAAATCTGTTTTTGGAACAGACATTCCAGTAAGATTTGAGTTTCCGGATTTAAAGGACTTTTGTTAGCTTGTTGTTCAGTGTTCATGGCCTCATCATACAGATTACTACTTTAATAAACAGTTTGACTTCTAGTGAATGACTGAGACTAGTCAGTGACACAGTGTGTAGTCAGAGGACAAAACAAGATCATATGAGCAGGTCCAGTCATGTTTTATAGGTACAAACTCTGTTGTTACAACAGGAATACTATTAATGTAATGGTGTTATGACTATTATCAATTAACAAAACAAAATATTCTACTATTATAGGCAAAAATTCCACACATAAATACATTTGCAACCTAAAATAATTATACATACTGTCGAGAAACACAAGAACATTCAAAGTCTTTTTTTAACTTTTTGCCTGGCAACATCCAGCATTGACCAACTCTTCTTTCTTGGGAAAATATCTGCAAAAGAGACATTTAGTTATTCACATGCCACTTTAAAACTACTGTTATGTTTTATAATGTTTCAGGGGCAAATGAACAATTTCTAGAACATTTATTTCAATTTACTTAATATGTGACTTAAGCAGTGGTAGATAATGACATCAGGCTCCTTAAAGCTACAGCTGGTAACTTTTCCAAAAAAATAACTTTGTCCTTTCTACTGCCTTTAATGACATTCAATAGAATCAGATTGCGGTACGGTCAGCAACAACCAATCAGAGCCGAGGAGTCTCAAATGCAGCTGTCAATCATGTCAATCACTGCTCATGAACTGCGATCAAACTAGGCTGCACTGATCAAATATGAACTAAAATTCTGTTACTACACTGCCTATTTCTCACCTCAAATGTTTTCAGAAACATATTTTAGTGACTATAGCTGTAAAATGGTAGTGTAGTATGCCAAAAGATGTCATAGTATGTCAAAAAAATGTCATATATAGTATGTCAAAAAAATGTCATACATAGTAAGCCAAAAAAAAGTCACAGTATAGTATGTAAAAAATAGTCATAATATAGTATGCCAAAAAAAGTCACAGTATAGTATGTAAAAAATAGTCATAATATAGTATGCCAAAAAAAATCACAGTATAGTATGTAAAAAAATAGTCATAGTATAGTATGCCTAAAAAAGTCACAGTATAGTATGTCAAAAATAGTCATAGTATAGTATGCCAAAAAAAGTCACAGTATAGTATGTCAAAAATAGTCATAATATAGTATGCCAAAAAAATCACAGTATAGTATGTAAAAAATAGTCATAGTATAGTATGCCTAAAAAAGTCACAGTATAGTATGTCAAAAATAGTCATAGTATAGTATGCCAAAAAAAAAATGTCATAGTATAGTATACCAAAAAATGTCACAGGACAGTATGCCAAAAAAAAGTCATAGGAAAGTATGCCAAAAAAATGTCATAGTATAGTATGCCAAAAAATGTCATAGTACGCCAAAAAAATGTCATAGGAAAGTATGCAAAAAAAATGTCATAGTACGCCAAAAAAAGTCATAGTATAGTATGCCAAAAAAAATCACAGTATAGTATGCCAAAAAAAAGTCATAGTATAGTATGCCAAAAAAGACATTGTATAGTATGCAAAAAAATGTCATAGGAGAGTATGCCCAAAAAAGTGTCATAGGAAAGTATGCCTAAAAAAAGTCATAGTATAGTATGCCAAAAAAAAATGTCATAGTATATTATGCCCAAAAAAGTGTCATAGTATAGTATGCCCCAAAAAAAAGTCATAGGAAAGTATGCCCAAAAATGTCATAGTATAGTATGCCAAAAAAATGTCATAGTATAGTATGCCCAAAAAAAAGTCATAGGAAAGTATGTCAAACAAATGTCATAGTATAGTATGCCAAAAAGTGTCATAGTATAGTATGCCCAAAAAAGTGTCATAGTATAGAATGTCAAACAAATGTCATAGGAAAGTATGCCAAAAAAATGTCATAGTATAGTATGCCAAAAAATGTCACAGGACAGTATGCCAAAAAAAAGTCATAGGAAAGTATGCCAAAAAAGTCATTGTATAGTATGTCAAAAAAAAAAAAAAATGTCACAGTACAGTATGCAAAAAATAATTTATTTAAGACTGGATCTGAGCCACCTACAGTCCTGTAGTATTTGTATAAAATATGTAAATCTGGACCCATATTGTGTTTATAAAATAGATTTCGACCTTCAGTTACCTACCTTCGATAACAGAACATGATCATGAGCAGCGCAGCCACACCACCAATCACTACTATCACTGCAGTGACTATGGAGACGACGGACAGCGAGTGGGGTTCTGGATAAATACACACAAACACAAAGGAACATTCAGATTCAGAAATGAGAGATGATTTTATGTTGTTCATAATTAAATGTCTCAGCAATGTAAGAACAGATTCATCTCAATTTTAAAACAAAAGTCACAAACTCACAGTGAAAGCATTTGGCACTAAATACAAATAAAATGTGCCTGAAAGAATGGTACACCATGAATCATCAAATGATCTGAACCAACCTGAGCAAATAAAGGAACCTGGTATGTTGAGACACTCCAGGTTTTGTGGACAGAGAGAAGTTTGTTCCTCACATTCATTGATATCTGCAACAATCAGGCAAAAACACTACTATCAGTGACACATGCTTTTTTATCTTATGGCAGGTTATTCACAATTATTCTTTTTTCACTGAAATGACGTCATGATATAAAGATATCTTAGTATCATGATAGACAGGTGTTTTCGAAACAAACTTATTTACAAGCTGAAAAAAGGTAACATTTTGGGAACAGTTGACAAATATAGGCTAGTTGAGACTGAAGCTTCACTTGATGACTACTGTTTCCATAGTCAAGAATGAACTTTATATCTCAAGTTTCAAGCTAGAGTGGACAAGAATTCATTAATATGCTAATTGTAATTTGAACATTTACAGTTCCATGACATGTTTTGGTTATTACAGTTTCAAAGATCTAGAAATAACTAATGAGTTTTGGTTCACATCTGAATCTAAACATCATTACAAGATTTTGTTAAAGGGTAGGTTTGATATTTTCCACCCTGGACTGTATTTTTCCACGTTTTTGTGTTTAAATGACGAATGGGAACAACAATTTTTGAAACTGGTCCAGTATTGAATGAGAGCACTGTAGCCGGCAGCCTCCAAATTGCTGTAGCCAAACTCACCAGACTCCATTTACATAAACAGTAATTTTAGTGTGTGTGTGTAGAGCCACATATTTTCACATCTAACTGCGTGAATTAAGGGTTAAACAAAAAGGTCTGTCTCAAAAATTCTCTTTGGTCACTTGGACTCAAGAAAAATACCAGACTTACCCTTTGAATGTGATTTGTAAACATAAACAATGTTGTGATGCACTGGTGTTTAGACATATATTTTTATCTGTTCCAGCCACGTCACCAGTCCCTATTTCAGGCTTTGTACCTTGACATGTGGGGGGTGTGGGGCTCCACTGCTGGCTGTTTGGATCACAGCTGACAGACGAAGATCCCAGCAGCTTGAAGCCAGAGTGACACTGATACAGAATCACAGAGTCACAGAGCAGGGAGTAGCCAGACTGAATCTTGGGTATTGCACCACAGCTGGGATCTGGAAGAGAGGGTGGGCAGGTCCAAACAAAACACATGAGATATCACATTCAGTGCGTTTACATGACATTTATCATGTCAGTCCGTCTAAAACTGGACTTTCAAAATGCATGTAAACATGTTAGTCTGACTGAAATCGTACTAAATTGAACTTCTCAAAGTCAGGCTAGATAATGACATTGGGAGTCGAATTACTTCTACATGTATACAGTCAATTGGACCCAAACTGGCAGAGGCGCTTGGCGCATGCTTTACAGTGTCCACCCCAGGATTTGAGCCAGAAGTTGAAAGCATGAAATGCAAAACAGGAAGAGGGCGGTAACAACAAGGCGAAATCCACATCCAAACCAGTGTTGACTGTTTGGTCTGTGTGATGGAATAGGTCAACTGGAAAAAGGTCCAATACTAACAAGCTGAGAGGGGGCATACTTCCACCTGTTGTAGCAGAGTTGGACATACTTCAGTCAATGAATCAGTTACCCTCCTGTGCTTGTATACTGGGACAAGGACAGTAGTCCAATTAAATGGCCTAGTTGAGCTATAACCGTAGCTTGACTTCACTGTGCATGTAAACGTACTGACTGTTTTCTTTTCCACTTCCTCACCTGTGTCTGGTTCTTTCCACGGGCGGAGGTCGAGGTGAGAGATGAGTGGGTGCGAACAGGCCAGCATGTCGTCTGGCCTCTGTGTGTGTGTGAACGGGTCAGCGGGGACATGAGTGATGCGGCTGTTGTCACAAATGATGCGGGACAGAGAGACAGTGCGGAGGTTTCTCCTCTGGGTGCTGGTGAACACTCCTTCCCTCTCCCACCAAAACCTTCAGGGACGAAAAACATTTAGATTTCTTCTTCTTGTCTCATAATCTAACACCAGAGGATTTAGTCTCACCTGTCCCCGTCTCTCAGTGCTCTGAACTGTCTCGCCAGCAGGCAGGACAGCAGCGGTCCGACTCGGCCTCCAGGCAGGGCGGGCTCAGCGATTGCTCCTACCCACACATCGATGTTGTGTGGCGTCCCGTACAAGAGCTGGAACTTGTGAGCCAGAGTGAAGTTGCTCAGGATTTCAGCCAGTTCGGATGTAGTGTTGGGAACAGAGAGGCTGCAGGACCTTCTCCACGAGCCGTATCCTGATGGGACAGGAAGTGAGGAGAGAGCGTTAAATACGGGGTCGTTAACCTTTGGAGCAACGACTAGACATTCTTCTTCAGCATATACGTATATTTAAAAACTATTTCTATTGTTGACTGCTATCAACTTTTGTCTCAACCGACAAGTCATGTTTACTCAAAAAACTACTAGCAGACTCCTGGGCCTCTGGAGTGCCAGTTACATAACACACATTCCTACATCTGGAGCTGGTAAATTAACGCACTTTTTTCACAACAGACATTTAAAAACACCAATGTAACAAACACCCTGAACGACAGCTGCATTTGTTTGATGTTCAAGTTCCAGCGGCCTGGTGTTGTGCATGTTGACTTACTATGTCTCATTTATACTAATTAAACAGAACAGAGCATTCATGCTCGCAATTATTTTTTAATACCATCATGACAGATCAGAACTTAATGATTTAAGATATTATTTAAAATATAACAAAGCTTGTTTTGTCTTAATAATGGGTTGATTTAAGTTGACTCTCAAGAAAATAAATGACCGATTTCTTAAATAATTTATCATGGAAAACATCTTTTGTTTTCCTGTGACTTGGAATAATTATAATGCGTTCAAGTGAGTTAATTCTGCAATCTTCAGAAAACAAAAGTCATGGATAATCTCCTGTGCAGGTTGGTTTACAAGAGAAGCTTGAGGAAATTTTATACATTATAAGATACTTCCTTGATATTTTTTTTACACCTGACCAGCTTCATAAAATGGGTTCACTAGAAAATAATCCATGCTGGAGATGTAAAAGGCCAGCAGGCACCTTCATCCATGTAATGTTGGCCAGTCCTCTAGTTCTACCTTTCTGGAGAGAGATAATCAAAACAATAGAGTGGCTAGGTGTGCCTGTTCCTGAATCAGTATTGTTTTTGTTTTTATTGTGTGAAGCACTTTGTGTTGCATTCTTTTTGTATGAAAAGTACTATATAAATAAAGTTTGATTGATTTTGCTTTGGCTGTGTCATCTGGACCTTTTTGTTTATATGTTTGTTTCCAGGCTTGATGTGTAGAATAGGTCAGGACTGGTGCTGTGCTGATTGACTTTTGAATCATTAATGTTATGAATACTGCAGAGATGTGTTTTTGTTTAGTCTGCGCTGTTTGTGTTGATGTTATTAAAATAGAAAAACATCAATGAAAAACTTAAATGACACCAAAAAAAGAAAACAAAAGTTGTTTTAAATTATCTCATTATCTCACGAAATCAGCCATTGGACTTGTAATCTTGAGATAACAGCATTAAAAAATAATTGCAAGTACAGTCATTCTCAGCATCTGTTTACAGTAATTGTAAACAGAATGCACTAAATGAATTTATAAGTATGCCTGCAGTTAGCCCAAATATATACTTACCACACCATTTAGAGAAAATCTAACTGCCAATCAAAACTTTCCAAAGTAAAAGTGAAATGAGTCTTAAAAGATTAAAGGCTATCATGTTTCCCTACATTTTTCTGTTGCTCTCTTACCTACCCCACCTTATTTTAAAATTTTGTAGCTGTGAGAAGCTCCTTTATATCCTGTGTGCACTGCATGGTGGGACAATGCATCAAAAGCACACTCTGAAATAAAGAATTTCTGTTAAGTGCCTCAATTTAGTGCTAGTCTTATTTAAAGGTAATCTGAACAGCAGTACTTCAGAGTTAACACACAGGTAGATGATGCATTGGTCTGTTTAAAACACAATTTGTGATACAATAAGAAAGCTGTTACCAGGCAGGCCGTGATCGCGACCCCTCTGCAGATTAAGGGCCCCGAGGTCCAGAGGCATCCCACCCTGAGCCTGGAACAGCCTCTCTGTCAGCTCCTCCACCATCATCTGACCTGGAGTCTGCAGCTTGGCTGGAGACAGCAGCAGACCGCGCAGCACAGGGTCGATGCCTCCTGACAGGACAAAAAAAAGATTATTACATTTCATGTAATTTGAGCTGAATGTATGACAGCACTGTAGTCTTACCTTCCTGCACGACCCTCCAAGAGGCAAACAGTGAATGATGCAGAGGCAGCGGGGGATGCTGGGCGTTCGTGGTGTATCCTGGCCCCAGCCTGGTCACCACTGGCTGCACGGTAACGTGGGCAAAACGAAAAGCAGCAGCTGCAAAAACGTTAGCAATGCTGGGATCCACCTCGGGATCATAACCCTCATAGGGAGGCATCAGACGAGACATGGTGGTCTCACCAAGGACCCGCGGCAGATAGTGGCCCCATGTTAGGATCTGGAAGGACAAAAGATGCAGGTCAGAGTGCTAGGGATGCTCAGGATAGGGGTGAACGGATGGAAGTGGCTTGATATACCTGATGAATGGCTCCCATGATCTTGCGGGCCTCCTGATAGAGTGTATCAGGGCTCCAGTGAGAGTTGAGCAGGTGCAGCTCTTTGACCAGCCGGTTGTGCTCTCTCAGAAAGAGCGTGTGCAGCGCAATCATTCCCAGATGCTCATTCGCTCTGGAATCACCTGAGAAACATAAATCATAAACAACAGCTCCACTGAATCCTGCAGACAGCTCACTATGTTTACTCACTCACCAGCCTGAAAGCAGGATGTGGTGTTGTCCTGGCGCATGGATCTGTGCGATGCCCCTGAGGTGGTGGAGTTTCGGGGGCCGCAGGGGTCAAGGTGAGCCTGCAGGCGTGGCAGGAAGGGCATAAAGGCCAGCTCCTGGTCTGAGTGCTGGGAGTTGAGGGCCATTGATCCCAGCTGGGAGGAGTGGTTTCTCAGAGCTGAGGCCAGACTGGCGGAGCTGCCGTACACCATGCTGGCATCTACGAAGGAGGTGATGGCGTTGAGCTGCTCTCGGTGGTGATGAGATGGGACTCCAGCAACACAGCTGGGAGCGGAGCGAAAGAAAGGCATACAAGTCTGGACGCCATTGCGAGGATCTGACAGAGGGATCTAAAGATAGAGGTTAAACATTGACATGACATTGAAGAGGAAATGGTGGAGAGAGGGGAGCATTACATGCAAAAAAGCTCAAACTGGCGACGTGTGTGTATGAGGTTATATTTTTAAACTGTTTATAGTCGATGATGAGGGGGAAAAAACAGGTATAGATATCTTGTTGTATTAGTTATTCATTATGTAATTTACAACATTGTAAGTGAGACTAAACATGAACTATCTTTCTCTAGAACTGCACACTGAACCTTTAAAGATGTGTGATCATCAAGCCAAAAACCAAGTATCCTGAGAAGCAGCTGATAGTGACGTGCACCTGTATGGGGAAGCAGGGCGTGTCCCGGCTGCAGGTGCGTGTACAGTCAGCTCCTGTCCTGAAGGCGGCTGTACTGGGGCTCTGAGGTGTCAGCACCACGTCGTGGTCTATCCACTGACCCCACTCCACCATCAGGTGGGACAGGGTGGAGTCCAGAGAGATGTTGTCATTGTGAGTGAACAGCACTTCCTGGGACACCAGCCGCACCTGGACAACAAACAAAGTCAGGAGTGCTGGAGTGACAGCTGATGACGGGACAGAGGACGACTGAGCGCTTCTGTGGGACTCTTACTGGAGGCAGAGAGGCGTTATGGTAGGTGTGCTCTGGGTCCCAGCCTCTGGGCATCCCCCACACATCCTCGTACTCTGCAGGCAGCCAGCGGGAGTACGGGATGTTTGCAGCCCCCCATCTGGGATTCTGTCTGAACAAGACAGGAACACAACAGACACACAGCGATCAGAAATCTATTCCAGACAGCTCTGCTCTGTAACTATGTGTTTATTTTTTTTGTAAGCACTAACCTGTTGTTGCACTCTCCTGTGATGGATCTGTAGCGCTCAGACAGACAGTCAGTGTCACAGCTGGGTCTCTGCAGCTCAGCGGAGCAGCCAGTCACCTGCAGCAGATTCTCCATGTCTCCTTCACTCAGCAGCTCTTTGGGAACACACAGTAAACACAACACCCAAGTCATACAAATAACAACTTCATTATTTAGAGATGTATAAAGAGCTGACTTTAACTTGTTTAGAGTGGTTGATCAGATCATTTGACATGCATTATGTGAATTAATAAAACATCTATTACCATCAACAGAACATTTATTTCTGTCTGCCATGTTTCTGTGTATATGACATCAACTCATGTACCAACATTTTTGCTGACTTTCTGAGTCATTCCAACTTGAGGGAGCGCTCATGTGAATTATCCCAGGTTGGAACTAATTTTACTCCTTACTCTGACACCACATGAATGCAAGGAAGCACACACTGGGGTGACAGAGGAACAAATTAGAAGAACTAACATCTAGTTAAAGAGATTACTTTTGCATGGCTCTTCTGGCTGAATACTGAGGGAAAAGTGACTCCATGATGTACATAGGATCACTTCTTGTTTTCCTCGGTGGACCTGGGAACATGTTTGGTGCATTTTATGAGGATAAATTCTGGGACAAAACCATATTGACAGCCAATGTGAGGAGTGCCTGGTGGGTATGATCAGTACTAGTTGTAGTACTAGTTGTCATACAGGTGCATTAACATCTCTGAGTGTTGTGTCAGGCTGCTGTTCAGTACCCTGAGGGTCGGGCTGCACCATAGTGTGAGTGTAGACCATCTCTCTGATCAGCTCCACAGTGTTGTCCAACAGTTCTGCAGCCCGGATCTGAGTCCTGGTTCTGGCTTCAGTCTGTTTAAACTGAGCCAGAAGGTCACTGGGTCTCAGAGCGCCTTCAGACAGAGACTTCTTCACCCTGGAAACATTAATAGTTTTGTTTTTAGTGCTAACACACAATGCTGTAAAGGGGTAAAATGATTAATTCCTTGTAGTGGGTCTGAAATATTTCATTTGTACCTTTCACTTGTGCGGGCGTAAGCAGCGTCAGTCAGCTCAATCGCCCGCTGAAGAGCCTCCTTCACAAATACTGATCCTGGATACACAGTTCCTGACATAACAGCAAAGGACAACAGACACAGTTAGAGCTCCTCAGTACCTGGCAGTGGTGGATGATGTATTCTGGTCCTTTACTCAAGTAAAAGTACTGATACTACATGGTAAAATACTCTGTGACAATTAAAAATCCTGCATTGAAAGTACTACTTAAGTTAAAGTGTTAAAGTACAATCAGCAGACCGTGCTCCAGATCAAGCTTGGTCTCAAAACCACTTTTTTATGGTCTTAGTCTTGTTTCGGAATCGGACACATTCTTAATCGGCCTTGTCGCGGTCTCGGACAAAGAGGACTCAGGATTTTATATCAAGACTGGTAAAAAGTGCCTGTGCAAATAAATGGAGTGTTAAAGATGGCTGAGTTGACTTTAGCATACACATAAAATTCACCTCTGCAATGTCTTTTGGTTATATTGTCAAGATACACACTGATACATAACACGTGTATATACAGTATATGGCAATAAACTAGGTGAGTGAGGAGGAATCTTATTTTTGTTTGTTTTTTTACCGAAATGTGGATCCTTCAGATCAATTTGAGGAGTGCCTAGTTTGAATGTACTACATTTTATTGTCATGCAGTGTGGGATTCACACTGGTCTTGACTTGATCGCGATACACTCTGGTCTTGGTCATGACTCTTAGTCTTAGTTAAGGTTGTCTTGACTACAACACTGACTTAAAAAATATTAAAAGTTCAAGTATTCAATGCAGAAAAATATGCCTTGTTATTGTTATACTACTATATATGACATCATAACATTATCATTACTTGAGCCAGTTTGATGTCTCTATTAAGTAGCTGTCTGTTAGTCACTCACGCTACAGTAGGAAACAGCACTTCAAAATAAACGCTCTGTGCCAGGAATTCACTGTATTTCAAAATAAAGTGTTTTTAACAAACTTGAAATGTTTGCGAGTCACTTGGAGTCCATCTAGAGTGGACCTGCAACTCACTAGTTGGGAACCACTGCTCTAGTATGTTCTGACTGTGGTGATCATTCACTGGACTAGGGGTGGTACCCTAATACAGACCCCCATTAGCATTAGATTTTTGGATAATTTTTCATTTCTGTTCATTTTGGGGGGTTTTCTGAATCAAAAAAGTAGTTGTGTTTTTTTCCTACAGGAAGATCCACCACTGGATGGAACCATTAATGTTTTTGATTAAAAATGACTAACCATGTAAATAGCTGTCAATTCATTTTTTGATTCAATGACTGATTCAATAATCAACTAATCATTTCAGCTTAAGTGATATAAAGAGTTGGGTAGTTTAACTTACAAGAAAACATATTCTGTAAACTCTTTATATGTTTAGTCTTAAAGTCTTAGTTTTTGAAAGAACTAAAGCTATCGGTCAAATGTAGCAGAGTTTAAAGTTCAATATTTCCCTCTGAAATGGAGCGGAGTGCCAAGTGCCAAAGTGGCATGAAAAGGAAGAACTCAAGTTAAGTACCTCAAATGTGTACATGAATACAGTACATGAGTAAATGTGCTTGGTCTCCTTTCACCATTGGTATCTGGTCTCATCAGTAATAATCAACCAGAAATCCTACCTGAGGTGTTGTCAAATACTCTGTTCAGTGAAGCGTGCTCAGGGAAGGAGAGCAGCACAAGAGCCAGTCTAAGCAGAGAGACGGACACCTGAAACCAGAACACATCTCACTGAATATCCCAAGAAATGTGCTACTTTATTTTTAATTAAGAAAGTAAAAAAACAGAGCTCACCATGAGTGCTGCATCCATCTAGATTGTTAGAACTGTTCAGTCCGTGCAGAATGGAGTCACTTCAGTTTCAGAAAACTAATATCGCACATAGTGACTTACTACTACGCTGACCGTGACTCATCTTGAGAGCCAACCTGTGCGTGTGTGTGTGTGTTCGGCTTTGAGTGTCAAGGTTGCCATTTATACACTGGCAGCAGAGCCAACAGGTATGTGCAGAATCCCCTTATCTGTCCTCCTGGTGACAGGAACGCAACATCAAACACTGGACTCACTGCCTCGACCTAATAACGTTTCAAATCAAATTTACTTCTGTCCTCATGATGAAAACCTTCTGTCACATTTGGATCACTTCAATTAAATTAAATCTTCACATCCCTCAAGAGAATATATCTTTGTAGCAGTGGACACGGTCAACTGAACAAATGAAGCAACTTTTAAAACAGAAAAAGACACAATCAATTATTACTAAAGGGATAGTGTGGTATTTTGAAGTAGGGTTATATGAGGTACTCATGCATAGTCAGTGTATTACATACAGTAGATGATGGTTGACATCCCCAGTTTGGAGAAGCAGGCAGGAATACCACCATGGACGCTAAGCAATGTACTGCTGTGGACGAGGGCAGCTGCAAAACCTACTTTAGTCACCTAAATAATCAATATCAGGTCAAGTGAATGCTATTTTTAGAATATTTTCACTGCTTTACTTTGCCATAAGACACTTCAGACAATCCAAACTATCCCTTTAAGCAGCCAAATGGAATTTCGCAATGACACATTCAGTACATTTCTGTGTGTCTGTCTTTGCCACATGCCGAAACCTTCAATCTGATGGTTCCTGTGCCAGTGATACAGACAGGTGGGCGAGCTGTAGGATGAGGATTCTGGGAAATGATTGAAGAACCAGGGATGAGGATTAATATAAGAATGCATTAAGGATCAGAAAGAAAGGTCTCACTTAAACCACTGTAGAGGATGTGACTCATAAAGCGTGGTTGTGTCCGGTAAGAGCCTCCAGAGCTTAAATGTGAAGCACCAGGCTGCCCGCGTCTTCCCTTTGATGCTCCAGGTGTGTGATACCATCAAATGAGTCATCACACCCATTTCATTACCATGTTATTAATATTATCTCTGCTGACCCATATTACCCATCATTTACTGTGTGACATTCAAGATGGGAATTGTAGAAATCTTTTGTTCCCAAAAATGTCCCACTGAGGAAAATACAAGCAAATACTTGACATGCAGGTAGATAAAGGGCCAGTTCACCTGCTTCTCCCCTATATCCATAATGATCCCTGGTTCTTTGTGGACTCTTTCAGGTGGTTTGTTCTGATTTTACTCTTTCAAACAAATAAACCAATACTATATACACAGCTGGATACTAGAAATATGTGGGATAAAATTATCATTTAAAGGGACAGTTCGCCCAGACATCAAAAATACATATGTTTACTCTTGTTTGTCGTTCTATTTGTCAATCTTGTCTGAGAACCATCTAGTTCAATTATACTGGAGAGAAGGCCGACATCTCTACGACTGATATCTCCAACACTTAGAAACTCACACCATAACAATCTATATAGATATATAAGACTACAGGTAAGAGGAAAGATATACAGTACAGGCCAAAAGTTTGGACACACCTTCTCATTCAATGCGTTTTCTTTATTTTCATGACTATTTACATTGTAGATTCTCACTGAAGGCATCAACACTATGAATGAACACGTGGAGTTATGTACTTAACAAAAAAAGGTGAAATAACTGAAAACATGTTTTATATTCTAGTTTCTTCAAAATAGCCACCCTTTGCTCTGATTACTGCTTTGCACACTCTTGGCATTCTCTCCATGAGCTTCAAGAGGTAGTCACCTGAAATGGTTTTCCAACAGTCTTGAAGGAGTTCCCAGAGGTGTTTAGCACTTGTTGGCCCCTTTGCCTTCACTCTGCGGTCCAGCTCACCCCAAACCATCTCGATTGGGTTCAGGTCCGGTGACTGTGGAGGCCAGGTCATCTGCCGCAGCACTCCATCACTCTCCTTCTTGGTCAAATAGCCCTTACACAGCCTGGAGGTGTGTTTGGGGTCATTGTCCTGTTGAAAAATAAATGATCGTCCAACTAAACGCAAACCGGATGGGATGGCATGTCGCTGCAGGATGCTGTGGTAGCCATGCTGGTTCAGTGTGCCTTCAATTTTGAATAAATCCCCAACAGTGTCACCAGCAAAACACCCCCACACCATCACACCTCCTCCTCCATGCTTCACAGTGGGAACCAGGCATGTGGAATCCATCTGTTCACCTTTTCTGCGTCTCACAAAGACACGGCGGTTGGAACCAAAGATCTCAAATTTGGACTCATCAGACCAAAGCACAGATTTCCACTGGTCTAATGTCCGTTCCTTGTGTTTCTTGGCCCAAACAAATCTCTTCTGCTTGTTGCCTCTCCTTAGCAGTGGTTTCCTAGCAGCTATTTGACCATGAAGGCCTGATTGGCGCAGTCTCCTCTTAACAGTTGTTCTAGAGATGGGTCTGCTGCTAGAACTCTGTGTGGCATTCATCTGGTCTCTGATCTGAGCTGCTGTTAACTTGCCATTTCTGAGGCTGGTGACTCGGATGAACTTATCCTCAGAAGCAGAGGTGACTCTTGGTCTTCCTTTCCTGGGTCGGTCCTCATGTGTGCCAGTTTCCTTGTAGCGCTTGATGGTTTTTGCGACTCCACTTGGGGACACATTTAAAGTTTTTGCAATTTTCCGGACTGACTGACCTTCATTTCTTAAAGTAATGATGGCCACTCGTTTTTCTTTAGTTAGCTGATTGGTTCTTGCCATAATATGAATTTTAACAGTTGTCCAATAGGGCTGTCGGCTGTGTATTAACCTGACTTCTGCACAACACAACTGATGGTCCCAACCCCATTGATAAAGCAAGAAATTCCACTAATTAACCCTGATAAGGCACACCTGTGAAGTGGAAACCATTTCAGGTGACTACCTCTTGAAGCTCATGGAGAGAATGCCAAGAGTGTGCAAAGCAGTAATCAGAGCAAAGGGTGGCTATTTTGAAGAAACTAGAATATAAAACATGTTTTCAGTTATTTCACCTTTTTTTGTTAAGTACATAACTCCACATGTGTTCATTCATAGTTTTGATGCCTTCAGTGAGAATCTACAATGTAAATAGTCATGAAAATAAAGAAAACGCATTGAATGAGAAGGTGTGTCCAAACTTTTGGCCTGTACTGTATATTTTAGATTTTTGGGTGACCTGCACCTTTAAAGTAAAGAAAAGTAGACTGAAAACTTTTTGCCTTTGGTGTGCAAAGGATTAGATGTCTTTTACTATTTATATTAACTTTTCCTCATGCTATTGACGTGCATACATAGGGAAAAATACACATTAACCACGATATTGCTGACAGAATCCTTTTTCTTAAACAAACAAAAAATTAAAATAAAATACAGACAGCTTTTATTCACATGATATCACCTGGTTAGAACATTTCACTGTAAATATTAACAGGTCATTTTTGTTCATAAAGATACTTGTTTACCTGTACATGCAAAAAACATTTAACCTTAATAATTAAAAAAAGATGTGACAAATAAGTTAGAAACATAACACTGTTTTCACTGGGAAGATAAGCACCTGGACAGCTGACAAATATTACAGTGCAAAATTAAGTTGCAGCTTCAGCAGCAGTTAGTGGGGAGATTTACATACAGTGTTAGTTATGTTGTTTGGCGTAGACAATCTGTGGGTGATCTTTAGTTAGGCGTGCTGAGACCACAGGAACCGATCGCAGCGCTCTAGCATCGTCTGGATCATGGCTCTGAAACAGGAAACAAAAGAAACAACTGTAACACCAACAGCACCTCATTTTTAAGACGATGAAAAGCAGTTAATGAGCTGTCATTTCAGACTCCATTCACATAGTTTAGTTTAATGTCTACTTAATAAAAAGTAATTTTCATATAACTAAGATTACTGTCACATGCTCATAACTACGGCGAAACCTCAAACATTTTATTCTGCTTTCCCCAAAAGTTTCAAGCCATCAGATGATAAACAGAGGAGCTACATGTAGGCCTTGCAGATGTTTGGTTGATTTTTATTGTTGTCTACAACTAAAAACATATTTTCATAACAGTAACAGCGCAGGAACTCTCTCCCACACTTGTGTGCTTATTAAAGTTTGTAAATTTGCACCCTGACCCACCTCTGCCTCTTTTCAGCGACTCTCAGCAGCTCACAGACCAGTTTGGAGTGCGGCGAAAGGACCGGCTGCACTCCACACTCCTCCAGGACGGCCATGGCGCGGTCGGGCCCGGCTGTCCGAGCCAGCATCAGGGTCAGGCTCTCTGGGCTGATCTTTTCACCGCAGTCTGCCGAGCCGTTGGACCAGCTGCTCCCATTCACACCTGTGACCGGCTCTGAGTCTGCTGCGCTGCTGCACTGCTGAGATAACTGGATCAAAAGCTTCCACTCTTCCAGTGACTGAGGCTCAACACCTGGAGAATAACAGAAAGACCGTACATATATTAGACATGAAGGGGATTTTTTTCTAATGAAATTCTGAAAGCCAAACTGGTTCTCTACATAACTCAAAGAAAAAAAAAAGATTTATTTTGAGGTTCTGCGTGCCTAAAGTCAATAGTGCAGTATTTTCCTGCTATTGAAAGAGCGCATTATTCAAATATCGGGATGTGCAAATATAGTGAGGTCCACAACACGCTTACACACATAGGGACGAGCTGATGGGTTGCAGGTGGATGAAATAAATAATATATAGTTTATGAGTACAATATGATTTACATACTCAACTCACATGTGACCTTAACGACTCAGAAACTCAGAGCTCACGTGACCTCAACGACTCTGTAAGGGTTCACACCCACATGGCGTTTAAAGCCTGTGACTCGGTCTGTTTTCAGACGTTCCAATGGTTAGTTACATGCTGCACTACCAATATATCATGTGTAAGTACACTGGATTTTCATGCAGCCGAAACATGGTTCTCAGTATGGTATGTGTCTCACACATCACTGTTACAAACTCTCCTCTCAGCCAAGCTCAGATATTATAATTCTGTTTCTGTCTGAAAGTGTGAAAGGAACAGTTTTACCATCAGCTTCCTCCAGCAGACTGATGTCGTCTAGCTGACAGATGGTGGAGAACGCTTCTGTGCGACGCTGCAGCTCACAGCAGAGGTAGATGTAGCCGGTCCAGTACCTGCGCACACACATTATGCAGAAGGTTACAAATGACAGTGTAAGCTCACAAATACGAACAGAAAATAAATACTGCTGTGTTAAAGAAAATTACCCGTGACTGCGGCAAGCCTCTGCCATCTTCTGCTTGGAGGACAGGTCTGCAGGAAGACGAATGAGGAGAGACAGGAGGCGTCCATAACCCCAACTAAAACAATGAGAACGCCACCTGCAACAGAAGTCACATGAATTCACTTTCATTTATTCATATACTTTGCTTTCACTTTATTATTAGACAGAATCCAGAAGTGAAATGGACCCATGATGGTAGCATAGTTTACATCCATTTAGGAATAGTGTTCCAAGTGAAAAGGCACAGGGCCTTTAAGTCAAAGTTAAACATTAATAATAAAAGGATCTTATTTTGCATTTTCCACACACTAGCTCGACCAGACCTGGGCCGTCCGTCAGGGGTCAGGGTATCACAGTGCTGAGGGGCATCATGGGTAAGTGCCAGCTCCAACCAATCCTGTCTCAGTGACTCTGGTTCAAGAAGGGACTGCAAAAATGACAACCTGGAGAGGCAGAAATGAATGTATAATTCATCGATGGGGAGATTTCAAAGTCTTTTTTGACAAAAAAGTGACACTTTAGATTTACCTGTCCTCTTCAGTTCGTGACTGGACCAGATTATCCAGGTATGCCAGGAAGTGGCTTTGCTGAGCCATGGTCATTACATCAGCAGGAGTGATCGTAGGATAGAACTGCGTAAACGAGCGTACAGCCACCTCCCCGTGCTTCTCATACAGCCTAGATAATAACATAGTGAACTTAGTTTACAAGGTCCATCACAACTGTGATATAAGCATGCGCTAATCAGAGAGAAATGCGTGTGCTGACCTGTGTAAATGAGCGAGAAGAGGAGGTGCACTCCAGGGCTGCAGCTCTCTCAGACTGCGAAGTGATCGAAGCAAATCACCTCTCTGAATAACCTCCACCACCTTACTGGACTGAGTGAGGCCTACAGAGAACAACAGAAAGGTGAGGTCTGACATGAGAGACTGGATTACAGAGGTGGATAATAAACTGTAGCTACAAATTAATACAGTTTGTTGTCTGAACATGTCACTACCTCAGAACCAAACTGAGGAAAATCTGTCCATTTTGTCCTACCTTTTTTTGTCTATTTGTTTTTTCCTTTGTGCAATTGTAAAATTTGAAATCTGAAAATAAAATACAGGAAAAAGAGATTAAACCAGAGATCTGAGGAGAAGCTTCTGACCTAGCATGGCCTCAGTGAAGGAGCTCTGCACCTCCGGCCGCTCCTGATGACACAGCAGACACATTCTCCTCACACGCTCTTGGTCCAGCAGAAAGAAGTAGCA